AGCGGAGATGATAGCGAACTCCCAGCAAAGAAGACGATCGACGTTTGAGACAAACATCTTGAAGTTTTTTTTCTCGAAAGGGCATCTACTTCTAATTTTTGTTGTGCTACAAATCAAAATAATCCACATATACTTAAGTATGTCTCGTATGATCGATCGCGTCTTTTACAACCCTGTAGAAAATTATTCTCGTGGGCACCCCCTGTACCCCTCGGAAAATTCTACCCTTTAGCCCCCCCACCCCCTAGGAATTTCCATTAACCATCCGTGGGGGGGGTATGGATATTTTCTGGAACCACACATTATATAAAGATGACTTATATGGCGACTCCAATTGCAAAAAACCCAGATCATAAGAAATTTTCATCTTTATACGATACAGTAGTGGTAGCCTTTTTCCCATAACTTTACTAGTGCCGACGTAGTTAGTGCTACAAATTGGGAGGTATCCCCCCTAAAAAATCCAGTCGAGCTACCTTAACTAAAAATTTCGGGCAACTCGACTCCCTGGTTTTGGGCAACATAACTTTGGGAGAAATGACTTTCATGCAACTTGACCGGATACTACTGACTGTACATGCAATAAGGACTGGTTTGTACTTCAACAGATCCCAAATGATAACACAGAATCCTTCTAAAGCAGGCTACATGATGAACGTTTCCTTCTTTGTAAAACAATCACGATGGCTCTTGCGTATTTCATTATGTCACCAAGTAATCGAAGACCAGTTCCTTTAAATTTCTGGGTCGCTCTAGTATTATATTTCAAACAGAGACAATTCCAATAAGTATACAGAATTGGGTAAAACGCTGAGCTGGAAATAGAAGCAGATAGATAGCTCAGAATGTTTCCAGTGCGGCATGGCCGATCAGCCAACAAAATTAATACGAAATTCAAATATTAATGTTCTCAATTTTTCCCCAGCAGGCGCGGTTTAAATCAATTGATGGAGAAAAGGTTTCATACACAAACGCCCTCGCATCTAATGAAGACAATTATACTGGCCGAAGCAAGGAGATATTATTTTAACGACAGTTTTGACAACCGAACAGGAACATAATTTTCACATTGTGCATGGACGCCGCTGTGTCACTAAAATGTGGAAGCGATTTTCATGCGCATTAAATGTAGCCCAGCCGTTACATCTTTTGCATTCAAACAGATAAGTAGAAACTACTTAACATCAACAATTCATTTTAACTCAGACTGAGACGTAAAAACTGAAAATAACAAGGTTTTACCTACCGAAATGGGCTTTTTCCCTCCGATCGCACAAAAAAAAACACCTGGAGCACGCGTTCCGGATGCTTGCTAAGAATTGTGGGAGAGAATGTAGCCCATAATTCGGGCGAATCACGTGTCTTTGTTGATTGGAGGAAACACGCGTACGTGTCTCGTCGCGTCGCTTACATACCGGTAAAACGCGTATGCAAACCCAACAATACCTTACATATTATTCCTGAGTAATCCGGAAAAGAATTTAAAATAGTAAATGAAAACAAGTGTATAAAAGGGACTGAAGCATATCCAAATCTCACTGCATAGCACTCGCATTACCATTGCGTCACACTAACTTGGTAACCTGCCACGGTTTCCGCCTGCCACATAAAACGCGAATCGAAGAAGGAGAAGCAGGTCTTTACTCTGGCTTTACCCTATGTGTTGCTAAATTTGTCATGTCCCAGACAGGTTTTTGTAGTCTCTTTTATATCCATGGGAAGCTATGTTCTTATCACCCTGTAGAAGTGTTGTTAGTTTGTATCACTGGAACAGTTTGCTTGTTAACCTTAAACATTTATGATGCCACACACCACTTCGCAAGTCAGCAAAGTGAAAGTTACCAGCAAAAGGTTAGTTTAAAAAAACTTGAGGCCACTTTCAAGAACAGTTCATTTTTATGTTGTCTAAAGCTTGCTTTGCTGATGACAAGTGCAGAAGCTTTTTGTCAGCTATTCACCTTAATTGTTTACAGAGTCAGGGTCTCGGCATATATGAAACAATTGTAAGGCTTACATAAGCTCACTGAAGAATTTTGATCTTTTTGCTAGTCAGTGGATGGAGATAAGGCCGAGTGAAGTTAAGCGGTTTACTTTAATGATAGGATGAAGAAATGTCACCAACCATACCTAAAGCCTCGACGGAAATATCTAGAATAGTGTGTTAAAATATTCTTGACAGTTTTAAGCGTGTGCCTTTTATTCTTAATCCATTGTGCAGACTTGCAACGGAAGCAGTTTTTAAATTTCTTGAAACCTCGCACCCCTGACTGAAACAAAAAAACCACACTATTCACTAATTAATAACCTCTTCCTCTCGAATATTTTCTATTGAACCACGTTTCCAAGTGATTAATTTACTTTGGAGGATAGGCTCTTTCAACAAATGACATCACACAAACTTTCTAACAATGTTAACTTCCAGCCAAAATCTATAGATATTCATATATCGTTGTTTATTAGTTTATGTCATCAACATGAAATCCATATATAATGGTAATAACAAACTGTCAAGAGTGTAAAAATGCAGCACGCAGTTCACCTGTGACGATGGTTTATGTCTAAAATAATGTCAAACCTCAGTTCTAAATACAAAATTATAGTCAAAACAAAAGAGTTAATTAACTTAATTCATAAGGGCTAAATTATAGGGGATAGATCAAGACTTTCCAAACACATTTGGGTCTTCTTCTTTTCTACTTTCACTGATAACTTAGTTTTCAACTTAGGATTCTCTATACAGTGATTAATGAAATGCTTACTGTTTTCCCTAATACTTAGCCACTAAATAGGGATTTATCTGGTGGATATGTTCTTGGTAAAATGCATTATCAGGATAGACCAGAATTTCCTTTTGTCTCCTATATATTAATAATAATAGACCCAGGAAACAATGGAATTCTGAATCAAACTTGGTTAAAAAGAGGTTTAACCTAAAAACAGATTTTACTTTGTACTGATATTAAATTTTAATTTTTACTACTATCCAACTTCTGAGCAACTTGGTCTTCAGCAGTTTAATCATTGGCCAATACAGTCATGTTCTTTAAAAGTACCTTTTCTTAATGCAATCATGTCAGCACAGTAATGATCATCATGATCAATCTGTTCTGATCAAATAGGCCTCATGGAGCATGTTTTGGTCATCACAATTTGGTAGTATTTTTCCATGTGTGGATGCATTTGTTTTATGGTCCTGTAGAGAGAAGGATTTTGCTCAATACTTTGTTAATAGAGATGTGCCTTTAATTTTGGACAAGGGTTTATTTTTTAACATCAGTAAAGCAACCTTTATTCTCTCAAAAAAACTCCCTATAATCTGCTCTGTTAAAAGTTGTAAAACTTCCTTTCCTCATCTTTATCCATTTATTTTCTGTCATTTACACTATTAAAATTATTTCCGTTATTTTAATTTACATTGTTCTAGTAAGGAAGTCTGCTGTTGCCAAAGCTTAACCCATTCGCCCCTGAACCGCCCGTAACCGCCCGTGCGGATCCAGGTCCTTTCTACCCTTTGTGACGTCATCAGTTTTAACGGTCAAGGACAACTTTCTTCGCTAACTTGTGCAGAGTGAAGAGATCTTTCAAACCATACCAGAATGAGCACAATTCAGTCAAGGACACCGGGGAAAGAAGCAAAAAACCACGTGACAAGGACCTGAAAATCTCCATGAAAATCTTGTTCCATTACTCACCTACCTTTCCTTTCACTTAATCCTAAGATCCTAAAAGCTTTCCCAAAAACTCTTCCCACCAAAATGAAGCCTACTAAATGCCCAGCAAGAGAAAAAAAAAATGAGGCAAGAAAAGCGAAAAAAGAAGGGAGGAGAGAAAGCGAAAAGTAAAAGTCAAGACTCCTGTGTCACTTTTAAACCGAAAAACTATGTCGAAATTTTGCTTTCTGCGCATGCCCGAACTTCGCAAGCTCATATTTTGCATCTGGATCAGAAGGCTGCCAAGTGTACGACCTGTAAACCGGTTTGTGGTAAGTTTTAGCTCTTTATAGCATGACAGTGACCAGAAAACCACTCGACTAGCTTCAAAACGCGGTTTTCGGCAAAATCTCCAGGAGCGAATGGGTTAATGCTTTTTAATTAGGTTTCCTTTAAATTTCCTTGTGTAATGATTTCAGAAGAAAATACTTCTTAAGAAAAAGTGCAACACATTAAATTTTCATCATTGTTCTATGATTATGTGTTAATTAAATTAATTTTCCTTTTTCGTCTTTGGTATTCAAAGAAGACAAAAGTAGCACAGTTTGTTATAGCTTCATGATTTTGTTCTCTTTGTCAGGTTTCTTTGCCAGTTGGCTTGCATGTTGGTCCAACAAGTTATTTCTTTGCACTAGTGTGCATTTATCTCCAATGCAAGAAACTCATTCAACAAGGATCTTCATATGTGCTAGGTAGGAGATGACCTACTTAATGAAATAGCTCTTCTTTGAAAGGGTTCCCAGTTTATTTAAATGTGGTGTACAACATCAACTTAAAATCCTTGGCTCAAATTGTATTTTCCTCTATTTCAACATAGTAGTCATGCATACCATACCAAACACAGGAACAGACTAACTTATGAACCAAAGATCAAACAGACATATTGTCAATTATATGTTTGGCTTTTAGTCATTGCTTATTACTGGTAAATGTATCGTCAGTGTAATATTATTATTTTACTGTTAACAGTTTTAAATCTAAAACACACTGTATTTGCTGCTCAGATCATTGACTTTCTATTATAGTTCCAAGCAGATCTTTCATAGTGTAGTTTGATTTTGTTGTGAGTCTCCACAGCTCTTAGATCATGCTTGTCTCAGGATAACACTGAACATTTTCATTTCTTTAACTTGTAGGTTTTGTCTCTGTGTTTGCAGTCTTCTCATGCATAGTTTTCAGTTCAATAGTTGCTAACTTGTATGGCCGAGATTTTTGGGTTGTCAGGTAAGAAGTTAATATAACTCGTGGCTTTTGAATTAGTGACCTTGAATCTTGTAACAACTTGACATGGCATGTGCATTGTGTACATGATAAAACAGATGTGACCCTTGATATGTGGTTTTACCTCTGCAAACCAGCTGTACAGTGAAAATGTGGCTAACCAAGTGACTTCTTAATAAATATCTCCCATACACAAATTGTTTGACATTCAGGATATGTCCACTATAAAATTTCCATTTTTATTAATGTGTATTTATTCCAGGCTCATCAGGAACCTAAGGGCGTAGTGTGTTTTCAAGTTGACTAATAAAATATAATTATCTTTGTCTTGTAGTGTATAGTTGGGATAACTTTTCCTTTTTGGTGTTCATTTGACGTTTATTCTTGTTGCCTGATACTGGCCGTGAACTGTCACTTCTGTTAGAAGTTAATTGTTGATTACTTTAAGCATGATAAGGTGACTGCAAGCTTTTTTTCTCTCAGGGAAGCTTTACCATACTTCTTTCTTCTGAGTGACTTCAATGCTGCCAGCTCATTAGTCAAACACACTCTCCAGTCAGCTACATATGTGAGTTACATTATGTTGCTTAAAATTTTGTGTGTCAGACTGTTTCCTTTACTTTTCTCTTTCTTTCGAATTCACCATAGTAAATAGTCCATTCAACCTTGTGTTTTATAGGACATGGTGCATAGTAGAATAGCTGAGAGCATTGCCTCCTTAGGACCAACCCTTACTCTTAATACTCTTGTTGGTGCTTTGGTTATCGGTACTGGAACACTTTCAGGTTTGTACATTTTTAAATATTCAAGTTTATTGAAATTACATGCCATGAGTTAAGAATTGGTTTTTTGTTTCTGTTCTAATATTGACTAATGAGATGTAATTTTACTCTTATCGTGTTAAAATAGAAAACATGTCTACAGCTCATGCTAGGTTGTTTAATGGCCGTAGTTAATGCAAACAGAAGAAATCCTCAAACCCTCAGTCTGGTAATAAGAGAGTAATACATGTTATAAATAAATGTACTCTGAACATGTAGTAGAGCTGTATTGCACCAAGGTTTGCCAATCACTGTCTCAATTCTTTGTTTCCTTCATTTTTTTTTTGTAGGAGTTGCAGAGTTGGAAACTATTTGTCAGTTTGGATGTTTATCTCTTGTAACTCACTATGTTATAGTTATGACATTCTTCCCAGCCTGTCTGTCTTTATTTCTAGAGGTAGGTTTTGCATAGATAATACTCAACTCAAAGCAATTTTTTAGTTCAAACATAAAATATTGGTAAGGCTGTAATTACAATGTACTTATTGGTTGTACTATTATCGTCAGCTGTGTTGTGGAAGCAGCCAAGATTGTCTGAGGTGGCAGTTAGAAACCACAGCCATCCCAGTAGAGGAACTGGAACCTAACCCAGTTGTACAAGGAGTGAAGCTTATCATGGTAATTTTTGCATTCCTTACAAGTAAACAATTTTGGCTTGTATATTGCAGTATACATAGTAGGTCAACATTTCAGTTTCATCAAAAAGCAATGCTTTTTCAGAATTTCTATGTGCTCCACAACTGAATTTTTGGTTGTTGTCATTTAGTCAACAGGATTGACACTTTTTCATCTGCATCGATGGGTTATACTGAAGGGTGATGATTATGAGAATTCTCAGGGGATGCCCAGACAATCAGAAGATGAAAATGGGTTCACAAGGTATGGCAAACATGATCATTAATCTCTAATTGATCACTCAGAGGCAATGTTAGTCAACCACAATAAGTTGAAAAGTATGAATGTGAACAAGAGTAAACTCTGTTTCATATTGGTTGTGAAAAAAGTATGCTTTTTAATTCTCCCCAGGTGAGAAAACTATTTAAAGGAAAAAGATATTTGTATTTTGTTCTCAACCAGTGTTTTTATGGAATGCAAAATATTGATAATCTGAGACTGAAATATTTTTGAAGTGTGACAAAATGTCTTATGTCACAAAATGTCTGCAAAAGCGACAACAGGACAGATCAAAATAATATGATTATGTCTTGAAATTAAAATAAATGTTGTTTTTGTCATGTCTCTGGGACAAATTGTCATGAATTGGCTGATTGATTGCAGTAGGATTTTAAGGGTACAATTTATTCATCCAATAATAATTAGTTATATTTCCTCTAAATCTCTAATTTGGCATCTGTTCACCAAGTGCAAATTGATATTTCTCTCAAGATGTTGTTTCTAAATATTTTAGGACCATTTCGTTTTGATCTAAATCCTTGAACATTAAGTGTTGAGTTGCATTATCCTATTGATGATCACCAGTGAGTGCACTAAAAACTTGCTTTGTGTCTATCATTGTTAGTATTGTGCAGCCTGGTTGTCTCCCCTGAAGTTCACAGACAATGCAATCTTCTTTGACCTTTTTGCTTTCATTTTTTTCAAGTATTATTGGCAAATCTGATTAAGGAAATTCTATTGTTGTTAAAAACTTAAGTATGTGATAACTTACAGACAATTGGATCCGTCTGATTTATATAAATACCAGTTTGAAGCTATTATCATAATACTATCACAGTCACCATTATTGGTACAAGCCAGGCTTGAAACATGATCTCAACATGTTGCATTTTTTGNCTTTTTAATTCTCCCCAGGTGAGAAAACTATTTAAAGGAAAAAGATATTTGTATTTTGTTCTCAACCAGTGTTTTTATGGAATGCAAAATATTGATAATCTGAGACTGAAATATTTTTGAAGTGTGACAAAATGTCTTATGTCACAAAATGTCTGCAAAAGCGACAACAGGACAGATCAAAATAATATGATTATGTCTTGAAATTAAAATAAATGTTGTTTTTGTCATGTCTCTGGGACAAATTGTCATGAATTGGCTGATTGATTGCAGTAGGATTTTAAGGGTACAATTTATTCATCCAATAATAATTAGTTACATTTCCTCTAAATCTCTAATTTGGCATCTGTTCACCAAGTGCAAATTGATATTTCTCTCAAGATGTTGTTTCTAAATATTTTAGGACCATTTCGTTTTGAGCTAAATCCTTGAACATTAAGTGTTGAGTTGCATTATCCTATTGATGATCACCAGTGAGTGCACTAAAAACTTGCTTTGTGTCTATCATTGTTAGTATTGTGCAGCCTGGTTGTCTCCCCTGAAGTTCACAGACAATGCAATCTTCTTTGACCTTTTTGCTTTCATTTTTTTCAAGTATTATTGGCAAATCTGATTAAGGAAATTCTATTGTTGTTAAAAACTTAAGTATGTGATAACTTACAGACAATTGGATCCGTCTGATTTATATAAATACCAGTTTGAAGCTATTATCATAATACTATCACAGTCACCATTATTGGTACAAGCCAGGCTTGAAACATGATCTCAACATGTTGCATTTTTTGTCAGCTTTGTTCACCTGTACATCCATTTAAAAACTGCACATGTACATGTAGCCTGCTGCACTCGCAAACATAGACTCAAACATATAGGAATCATCATTTTACATAATAATAGTACATGGTGATACGCTTTGCAACTAGAAAAAAAAGTTTTGTGTTCCAAGATTTTTAAATTCAGATGCAGTGTAACAAATTATAATAATAATTCTTGGCAACAGTGGTCCTGAAGACCAGATCTGTTAAATGATACCTTGTGGAGATTCAGAAACTGGTGCATTTAGCCAATAGTTGGCCCTTGTTAACATGTTACTGACCACTTCCTGTTTGTTTTAGTTTTTTGGCAGGAAATACAGAACAGGTGAGAATGATGAGATTTATAACAATTATTATTTCACCCCTTCCCCCCAACCTCCCCCCAACCTCCCCCCCCCCTGTAAATTACCTGGGGAATAGGCTTATACATAAGTGACTTTCTCCCAAAGAGGAAGCAAAAAAATAGCGATTCAATCATGAGCTGATGAAGAAATACTTACCGTATGTACTGCTGCTGTCTTTGCCGTCAGAAAACATCCATATCCAAAAATTAGAAAAACTTTATGAGTGGCATAACAAACATTGTGGTAGTAACATATTGCTCAGTAGCTATTTGTAGAATCATCTCACTTGAGGGGTTTCCGTGAAGGATAGAAGCACTTTTTGCCACCAGAAGTTGTTTTTCTTGGGTTTAAAACTGAATCAAGATGTTTGACCCATTCACCCCTGAGCTGCCTGTAACCACCCGTGCAGATCCACATCCCTTCTACCACTTGTGACATAATTAGTTTTAGTTGTCAAGGACCACTGTCCGCTAAGTTGTGCAGGGTGAAGAGACCTTTCAAACCATACTAGAATGAGCATAATTCAGTAAGGACAGAGAAGAAAAAAAGCAAAAAAACCATGTGACATTGCCCTGAACATTTCTGTGAAAATGTTGTTCCATGACCCACCTACCTTTCATTTCATCTAATTCCAAGATCCTAAAAGCTTTCCAAAAAACTTTTCCCACCAAAATGAAGTCTACTAAAAGAAAAAAAAATGAATAAAAAATGGGGCAAGAAAAGCAAAAAAAGAGGAAGGAGAGAAAGTGAAAAGTAAAAGTCAAGACTGTTTTGTCACTTTTAAACCCAAAAACTGTCTTGAAGTTTTGCTTTCTGCGCATTCCCCAACTTCACAAGCTAATATTTTGCATCTGGATCACAAGGCTGCAAAGTGTACACCCTTTAGATAGAGGATATTACACGGTGGCGCGAAGATATAAATTTTATTTTCGAGTAGCTAAACAATATTTTATGAAAGAGCGCAGCGAGTGAGTAAAATAATGTTTTTGCCATGAGAAAATAAAATAATTTTATTTTCTTGTGGCAAAAACATTATTTTATTTTATTTGATTCATATCTTCAAGCCGCCATGTACTGTTCTTTTTATTATATAGACAAAATGACATCGATAAAATAATAGAGGGAAACTACCAAAATTACATCATTGATAAACTGACGTTTGAGATTATGAAAAATAAACCACTCGGGACCAGAATGTAGTTTTTATGAATTTTACGAGTGCTATATTTTCCAGTAAAACACTCGTGTCTATATAGTAAATGGCTTTCATAAATTTATGAGTAAGTTTTAGCTCTTTGTAGCACAACAGTCACCAGAAAAAAAAAACTAGCTTCAAAACGCTTTTTTCAGCAAAATTTCAAGGGCCAAATGGTTTAAGGTTAAGATAGAACAGTTGTGAATTAGGGCCGTATTAATTACTCCTAAATGTCCGTTTATGAATTTAAGTCAGTCATAATAAGTCTTTTTATATTCTAAGTGAAAAAACTCTTTTTAGATTAAGACAAAGAAAACTTAGGTAACATTTAGAACATTTTTCTCTTAATTTAAATTTAGGATCTCTTTCAGATTGTAGCTGCTGTATTTGCTATTGGTCTTGCACTAAGATACCTGGTAGCGTACAAAGATGAAGGAACATATGACCAAGTTGAGAAGAAAAAAGTTATACTGGTATCAGAGGACAAAACCTCCTCTTTAGCAACTGCATCTCATTTTGATAGTGATCAAAAGGATGAATCAAGCCAAATAGAGACTGAACCATCAGAAACGGATCATGGACATGAAAAAAGTATTGCATCAGTACGGGCTAAGGAAGCTACAGATATTTACTTATTATCAAGAACAAAAGAATTCAGTGAAGTAACTTGGAAAGATTCCAGCGTTCATGGCTTGAGAACCAAGGTGTTAAGGAGAAGAACTGTAAGTGAAGGCCATGGTTGTAATGAATCAAGTGATGATAATCTGCAGAGTGAAGAGGCGTCAATTTCTAGAACCAGTCCTTCAAGGAGGGAATACAAAGAACGTAGTTTGGAAGAGTGCAAGACAATTTTCAAACAGTCGGTATGCATTAATAAGAATTATTCAATTGATTTATTATTATCATTAATTATTAATTATTTTGATTTAATTTATTATCTATTATTTATTATCTATTATCTAAAATACATGCTATATGCAATGTATTATTAGAGTGATGCCATTTTCAAGCAACTCAGTTTATAGTTCTCGCATGTTGTGGTTATAACAGTAAATAAAGCCATAGAAGCCATGGCTTTGATGGTAATCATTACACTGAAATAGCAAACAACAATCTTCTGCTTATTAGTAAAAGTACAGACCACTAAACAGGAAAAAATAAACATAATTGAAGCTGTTGTAATAACTGAAGTTACAACATCTTGTAACATAATTTTAGTGCAAATGTGTTCAACATTATCTCTTCACAACAGACTGTAACACCATTTTTGCTGCAACTCTTTGCGAGCAGCAACACTATTCCAGATCATTGATGTTTGTCTGTGTGTAGCTTGGGCACTTCACTTTTGGGTTGTTCTCTCGATTCTTTCATCGTTAATTTTTTTCTAAGATGGAAGGTTTTTGTCTGTATGGGGCCTGGGCACCTCAAATAAGGGCTGATCTCTTCATTCTTTCATCGAGATTTTTTTTGAGGTGGAAGGGCCCCTGAAATAAATATGTAAGCTCGATTAAGCATTTCAAAACAATTTCTTTTTGGCAAGACAGAAACAAAACTAAAACTTAATTTGCTTTGTTTTAAAAACATAGAACAACAATAATTTTTGGAAAATCCGGTGAGATGAAACATTGTTTAGAAATTAGTCACTTTATGCTGTCATGTTATATGTTTTTTTAGGCCAAGTCATTGGGGAGATGGGGTTGCATTGTGACATGGAAATGATTCCAGTTAAAACTAATGTGTTTTTATTTTATGCAAAAGTGTAACTTGCTTATTTAGAGATTATAATGGTTGAAATTAAAACCTTGACTTAAAAATGGAATTCTTTCTTGTTGTTTCTATAACAGATGATATATTACTTGCAGCACTTCACTTACAATTTGTAAACTCTACTTCCTTTAAACTCTTCTTAAGATTTATGAATGTCTTGCTCTAATTTCATAGGATGGAGTGTATACCTTAAGTGATAAAGAAATTCAGATGTTAGTAGAATCGAAAACAATTCCTGGACATCAGCTTGAAAAGGTGTTAAATAATCCTTCAAGAGCTGTAAAGATCAGGTAGATGCTACCTCTATTGAAGATAATTATTAATTTGATTTTCAGTTGGTTATTTTCTTGGCAGCCCATATCCTCGAGGATTGCTAGTTTGATTCAAGTAGTAGTTAGGCTTTCTCAGAGTTAAACTCAGGAACTGATGCATTGTTGCCATGTACTATTCAATAGGCCATTTTTGAGCTACTTAAAGCCTCTGTTTCAAACGGAGGCTAAGTGCAAAGCCATTGATCAACATGAAAATTATTTTTTGTTCTTGTGCAAATAAACTCATTTTCACAAGAAAGGTAAAGCCTTGTTTTGAAAGTGAGAGTTTTTGGAAATCAGAAATGGCCTACATTGAAGTTTGGTACGTTTGAGAAGAGTGATATAGTGGGTACTCCTTCTTACTTAAAACATGCAGGTAATTCGAAAGAGAATCTCTCATTTTTCCTGTATGTTGTCAATTTGCAAGCCATAGTATGCATCTGGGATATTAAAAGAAAGTGAAATAATACTTGAGCTTTTTGTTTGAATACTTAGAAGTTTGCAGTAGAATCTGTAACAATAATAATATTATTGTTAATTTTGTAGACGTGAAGTAGTGTCAAAGAAGCTGCCAGCTGAAACAGATTTGGAGGAACTTCCTTGTAACCATTATGACTATGGCAGTGTATGTATATCAGCTTTACTGCTACACTTGATTTATGACAGAGTTCCCAAAACCCAAGAAAACATTGTTGGCCCATAAAAGTAAAAAATGTGGTGCTTGAATATGACCTCAACAGAGTGAGATCGTTACACTCATCATGACCCTGCTGGTATAGAAACTTTTATTGACACTGTGGTCTGTTCATTTTCAGTATTGTTGTTTCTTGGAAATATGACATCTACACACTTGCTATTGTTGTATCATTTTAGAGCCAGTTCTGCCTTTCATAGATGTTTCTTTCCCTCAGGTTGTTGGAGCATGTTGTGAAAATGTCATTGGTTACATGCCTCTTCCCGTGGGCGTGGCTGGACCACTGTTACTTGATGGACAGAACTATTATGTTCCCATGGCAACCACAGAAGGTTGTCTTGTGGCAAGCACTAATCGGGGTTGCCGTGCACTTTTGGTAAGTACTCAAACATTTGAATTTTCACTTGAAAACCTTCAACTATCCTCAGCTTTTGAGATTGTTCTTTTATTATAGAATTGGCCTGCATTGTATTTACCTAGTAGTCTTAAATTGCTTTTCTTAATTCCAGCTAAGTGGAGGTGTTAGAAGTTCTGTGTTTGCTGATGGCATGACACGAGGGCCAGTCATTAGATTTCCTTCAGCATTAATTGCAAGGTAATGCAACTTTACTGGTCATGACACAAAACTAGAAACAAAAATCATGCACAACATAACACATTTGACTTCAGGAACTTTAAGAATCATTGTCTAGTTAATTGATTGTTGTTTTAATTTCTTTTACTGTTCATTTATTTAAATTACCTTGTTTGCAGTGATGTCAAAATGTGGCTGGAAAAGGACACCAATTTTAGGGAAATCAAGCATGTTTTTGACAGTACAAGCAGGTGTGTATCATGTGGACTATCTGACTGTGGCTGTTGAGAGGTGCAATGTAATAATGTTTGCTACATTTTTGGCTAACTATACACCTTTGTTGTAGATATGCCAGACTGCAGTCAGTGAAGGGAGTTGTTGCTGGTCGCTTGTTATTTGTCAGATTTGTTGCTTCAACTGGGGATGCAATGGGAATGAATATGGTGTCAAAGGTATTCAATTTCTTCTGGTTTTAAGTGGACAGTGCTTTCTACGGGAACTTAAAATTTTATATGAAAGTAACTCCTCCTGGTGCTCTGATGCCCAGCAAAACCAAACTAACCTCCAATCTGAGTCTTTGTAAGCACAGTCTTTAATTCATTACTAATATATTCATGCTAGTGTTTTATCCAATACCTACATGTATGCGGTAGGTACCTCAGGGTTAATATGAAACCCCACTTCTTTGTCATTTGGGTTAAATATAACAGCTTTTCAAATACTATCGCAATATTTCAGGGAACAGAGAAAGCACTTCATTGCTTGCAAGGACATTTCCCAACAATGGAAGTGTTGAGTTTAAGTGGCAACTTTTGTTCAGATAAGAAAGCAACTGGTGTGAACTGGATTGAAGGCAGAGGAAAGTCTGTTGTGTGTGAAGCTATTGTGCCTGGGCATGTTGTAAATAAGGTAAAATAATCTAGATCATAATTGAGTATATAATGCCTATATCAGTTTGCATTATACATAAACTGTATATGTACACTTGTCCTGACTTGTACATATGTACACCAGAAGCAAAAGGCAGAGCAGTTTGTAGACCTGTGTAGTACAGTTTTCTTATTTGTTGTTTTGTTTACATCAGGTTTTAAAGACAACAGTGCCAGCACTTACAGAACTCAATGTCAGTAAAAATTTGGTTGGTTCAGCCATGGCTGGAGCCATTGGAGGATTTAATGCGCATGCAGCTAACATAGTCACAGCAGTATTTATAGCAACAGGACAGGTAATAACTTTGCTGCCTCACAAAGCTACCCTGGCCATTGTTAAGACTTGCATGTTATTTCGAAATCTTGGAACCCGTCAAATTCTGGAATAAAAGATGATGTGAACTGCAGGCATACAACTGCAAATCATTGTTGTAATAGCAATTCAAGCGATCATAAATTAACCCAAAAAAACAGATCATCTTTCATCCCGTATTTCATTCTTTTTATGGGTTAAAATGAACTCAACAAATTGGCCAGTTCACAATGTGTGGGTCTTCATAGCTCAGTGGGTAGAGCACAGCAGTGTTAACAAAGTACCCAGCTGCGAGCAAAGGTTTCTCTCTTGCATGGCTTTTAACATCAACGAAGTCATTCCCATGGCTTGTCTCTGCTCGCAAGTTACTTACAAAGAGGGGACTCAAATCTTGTTGAAGCCCCTAAATGTTTTTCAGGATACACCTGCGTCGCTGAGTGGAGGTGGGTGCCCGGGATTTCCAGGGGCTTCCACCTTTGGCACAGCCAACCCCTAGACAGAGTTACGCCCCCATGGCTGGCAAACCCGTGCCCTCCAGACATGAGCCCCCATGCCAATGGAACCAGGCACCCATCACAGTGATTTAACAGTGGAAGAATTAAGTGGGGGAGGGATGGGGGTAAAAGAATGATCCAAAGGCTAAACAAAGAGAATGGCCGCCACAAAAACACTGTACTGAGCACATGGAGGTGATGCAAGCAAGGCTGACCGCGCCTGAGCCAAACGACTGACCGCTGACCACGCTCACGCTCCTTGTTGTTAACTCTGTTGAATAAAAATTTATTTAACCTCATTTAATTTGCAGTTGTTTAAATTGTTATTATAACTGTGAGATTCATACATTGGAATTGAAAGTATCTTAAATTTGACAATTATTTTAATGGTCATTTGCGACAACAGGACTTGATCAAAACATTGCAATCTTCATAAAACTGAAGGTCATTTTTCTGTGATTGCATTTTCTTGTCAGTGATAAATCTTAATATTTAATGTTAATATGCTAAATGTTTTTATTTTTTCCTAGGATCCTGCACAGTGTGTTTCCAGCAGCAACTGTATAACATTACTTGAACCATGTGGTCCAAACAAAGAAGACTTGTACATCAGGTAGCTTAATTTTTTCGACATGTTTATGTTCCCTGTTTGTGTGCTTGTGGAGTCTTTTTGTTTTATCAACGTTTTATGGGAATTACAAAGAAAAGAACACTCTACTGTTAGGATTTGTATGCATAATAACTGACTGATCTCATGTTATGTAGTTTGTCATCACTTTAGCTTGAAATGCAGTTTATCCCTGACTTGATTTGTTTTCCTGTTGTGATACCTGTCTTTTTCACTTCATTCAGCTGTACAATGCCATCATTAGAGGTTGGCACAGTTGGTGGAGGAACAGTTCTTAGTCCCCAGTCAGCCTGTCTCAAGGTTTGTTAAAACATCGTTTCCTTTTACTTTATTTTTAAAGAGGAGACATAAAACAACAGATTCGTTCTCTGAGATAATCCGTGGGCCAGAAGATAGATTATCAAAAATGATTCCCTTACTTTGGTTGGTTCTTGAATCTCTCCCAGGGATAAACCTTTTGAAATTCATATAATGTATCGTTAACTGGAACCGCAACGTCTTTAGAATTTGGGGGTGGGCTTGTTTTTTCAAACGCCGTTCTGGTGGGGCTTATTTTGGGAGGAGAATATATCAAATCTGTTGAGCTTGTATTCAGGGGTTTTAAAGGCAGGGGAGCTTACGTTTGGGATTTCACGGGACGGGTACTGTTTTTTTTTTTGGAGCAACTTTCTTCTCCGCCCTCCTGAAAGTAGCCTGTTCCAGGCGTTCAGATCGTGGGGACAGCGCAAAGAGATGGGAGCCGCACTCCACTATCCGAACGCTTGCAACAGGCTACCCTGAAAGCTTGGGAAACACTGTTGGTTTTGTTGATGTTAACCCATACTTTCACTGAATTTTTGTTTCATTATTTTGTGTTGCAGATGCTTGGTATTCAAGGAGCGAATAAATCAGAGCCTGGCAAGAATGCTACAAAGTTAGCACAAATAGTGTGCAGCACAGTGCTTGCTGGAGAATTGTCTTTACTTTCCGCTCTTGCTGCTGGTCATCTGGTGAAAAGTCACTTAACACTAAACAGGTATTGTCTTTAAGTGAGATAACTCATAAGGACGCTATATGATGCTTAACAGAGAAATAAATAAATAAATAAATAAATAATGATTTGGAGGTAGCACATCCAAAAAAAGTGGTTCTTCGTCTACCTGATTCCTGGTGAGGAGAGGGGAAAACCGGAGTACCCGGAGAAAAACCAACAACAAACTAAGATCTAAGATCAGGCCCTTAATGTTATATGGAGCTGGTACTTTTGTTAACAGTTTACTTTTACTTTTGTTAACAGTTTAAACTGAACATATCGTATTAAATTTGGTTTTTGTTGTTGTTCTCTGTCTTGCTGTTAATACCGTCGTATTTCTTTCTTTCTTTAGATCAACAGTGAATCTAGCGGAAGATGCAAGCAAGAACTGTGCTGTATTATAGCTGAACCTAATAGTATCATTCCACTCGTGGGTCAAGCTGAAGAACAGAGTTTTTTGGTCTAGACAATTTTTCTCAAAACAATTCCGTGTGAAATTCCTTGTTAAGAAATTTGCAAAGGAACAGGAGCGGTTGATCCATGCGATATCAAAAGATGAAGATCACTTAGAAAACTATGTGTGTAAAAAGTCAAAAGAATTAAATAACTGCTACCAGGAAAATGGACAAGCAAGTTTCAAAAGGGAAAGTTTAGTATGGTTTTTTTAAACTAAAACTAGTAATAACCAGAGGTTAGAGAGAGCGGGCGACAACGATCGAAGGTGCTTTGTGTAAGTTTCACGAGACAGATGGCCGTTCAAAACACGCGTGATCAGATTGCGAGTGATAGAAGGTCCAAACGCGCGTGATCAAATACTTTTCTGTACATTCCATACATTCTTAGTGGAAGTCCAAACGAATGCTGGCTACATACATGCGACGCATGTGTTATAACAACCTGGATATTAAGATTGCAGGCTCTTCATGTCGCCCGCAAATAGAGAAATTGAAAAATTCTTTTATTAGATAAGAAGTTAGGTCTTGTCAAGTACTATTTATTAAAAAAAACCCAGTTCATCATCAATAAACAAAACAAAGACATTTTATTTTATATTGTACAGTAACAAAGAAGAAATAACTCTTAATTCTACAAGTACGAATAAATTCTTGAGGATGATTTAATTCAGCAAAGGGTGTCCGCTATTTTACTCTACTAGGTCTTTGTTTCTCAACGCCCAGTCTCCCGCACGCTTGCCATTTTAGCATCTGTTATGCAGGCTATTGCAGGTCTGTAAAAACAGTATTTCCGGTAAAGCCCCATCAAGGACCACTAGCCTGGACGTCGATAAAACCTCTGATTGGTTGAACTGATTTTAACTCAACCAATGAGAAGCACCACTTGGCTGTATGTGTTTATAGTCTCTCCTGGAATGATGACGAGAAGTGTTTATTGAAGTCAATCCTAAGTAGTAGCTGAGCTAAATGGGGACTGGCTTGATGACTGCGCACACTTGACAGGATTTGAAACAAAAGAACAGTCTGTCTTTCATAAGTCTGCAAAATCAAGTAGACAAAAAAGAAATTTAGGTGCGTTCGATTGACCGTTTTCCGTAATAAGAGTACAAGGAGTTTTGGCTTACATTGCATTGTAAAGTCCAGAAATCTGGTGAACATCAATAATAACGATGAATCAACGACCCAAAATTTGCGGTTAAAAATATTTGTCACAAATTTGCGTAATCTTTTTCCGAAATACGATCAATCGAACGCACCTGTAAATTACCATCAGCTAGAGATGTCTTAAGTGTATGAGGTCAATTACACCGACATCATTCAAAGACAAGATTCTTTCGTTTCGTTGTTGCGTTTGATTTGTCTCAGCCATTTTCTGCTCTAAATACAGCCGAGCCAAGGGTAAATAAATTAATGTTAATTTTCCATCACACGATGGGTAAAACTTTTGGAATTTCATACTGTGTCGAGTGAATCGCGTCCAGGGTAAAGAGACTAATTGTTACACCTGGCCCCTGTTGTTCAAACCGATAAGTTTTAGTGAAAGCGATTGCAATATCCATTGGATAGAGCTATCCACCCTTAAAACAACTGGGGCCTGATAACCGCCCATCTCCTGAGACCCAGCAGCTGCTAGTTGGTAAGAGAGAACTACGGTTGAAATCGTTGCAAAGTTTTTCACATGTTTGAGAAGAAGGTAGCCCACCTGGCAGGCGCCAGGGGATTAGCGCTTTCCCCCCCCCCCCCCCCCCCCCCCCCCCCCCCCCCCCCACATTCTTTTTCGCCCTTGCTATTATAGCTGTGAAGAAGAGAAAAGCCAGGAGGTACTAACTCTTGCCGAACCATAAACCAGCTGTGATTGGGGGACGAGGAGATATAAAGATTACAGGGAAGGCCGATAATCTCAGGCCAACGGGACCAGAGTTCAAGAAGCGTTAGAAAATATTTGTCGGCCACTTAATAGAAGCAGAGAATCCAAATGCTTCTGTAATTACTCTGGTAAGAGGCGTTCTTCCGTTTTTCTTGCAAACTTTACCTAGAATGTTTTTGCCTGCGAAAATTCCTCCCCGATTTGCTGCCCCTTGGTGTCCAAGAATGACAATTACCTCGTTGTACCCGCCAAAGAAGAATATGGCGTTAAAAAGTTTCATTAACAATTCATAAAGAAGAAAACAAAAGAAATTAAGTGTCTTTATATCTAATAAAGACCAAAATAACACCAAATCTAAATATTAAGAATGAGTTGGTCTATATCAGAGATTTGAAGCCGTTCAAAAAAAATCGCAGTCGTGTATTATCATTTTAAAAAACTCGAGGCGAAGCCGAGAGTTTTTAAACCTAATAATACACTCCTCGTTTTTGAAATAAAGACACCCTAAGTTGTACTGTACCTTAGTGATGTTTTCAATTTGCGCCAGTTCTCTCTCTGACAGTCCAGTGTTTCCCGTCTGAAGCAGGAGCGAGCTGAATGATTGACATAAGTTCAGGATTTCATCAAGGCAGTGCGACACCTGTCAATCAAGCGATCAATCAATCAAGCGGTATTATTTCTTTCAATGAGACACGCTATTTCTTATCCAACCTGCGATCAGCCGTTCGTTAGTTAGCGCGAAAGTCGGCGGCAAAGAAAACAAGGGGAAACGACCGCCTGATTGTAGGTTATTCCTTATCATGCATCCCGGTCATTTGTCAACGGAAACTTGAAGGAATGTGACAAAACAAGCGCATGGCAGTGTTAACCTGTATGTAGTGGCAGTTTTGCAGAGTTTATATCAATTTTCCAGACTTTTTCCTGGTCATGAATATTGTTCTACAAATTTCAAGACTTTTTCAAGAATTCAAGACTCTGCACGATCACTGTTGCCCGTTTGTTGCGATGCCAGTTTACAGTGCTAATCATCAGCCGAAGCCATAAATATTAGCCACTTCAGGGTGATAGCTTACTATTTATAAGGAAAGCTATTTGTGATAGCGCGGTCAGTCAATTTCATTGGACATCCGAAAGAACTTAAATTACTTAAACCAATTTGAATTCAGTGGCGAATAAACAATCGAGTTTATAAATATTGCACGCGACCACTCCAAACCTAAGTTGCACGCGACCACTTGCTGCGACTATGATATCAAGAGTTTCGTTGATGACAAGTAAGACATAAGAAATTCGAGAAAATTTGTGTTGTTAGTTGAAAGTTTTAGATGTCCGATCTGAATGTTTTTGTACATGGAAATAAATTAAGGTGTTCTTAAACATTAAAAGAAGGCCTTCTAAAGTTCGAATAACGAAGATGTTTCTCTTACAATGAATATGAACTTAAAAAATGTAGTGTAAAAATAGCTAAGTGGTCTGGTGATAAAGCTACATGGAAGTGTCGATGACGAGTCTTTGCCGACGTAAGTATCGTTTCCTGTTGCTTTAATCCTTGGTACCTCAGTGAACTTCTTATTTAATAATAAAGGATTTGCTTTCCTACATGTAATTATCTTAGGAATTAACCAAAGTATTTTGGTTCAATAACCTTGACGCCTGATTATCTCTCATGGTTTCCGTTTGCATGCCTGTCTGACGTCTGTAGAAGTTTGTCAGAACAAAATTAAATCGGTACCCAAATTAAGACGTCTTAAGACTAGCATTTTCAGGATAGGGTTTGTATGTAAAAGGATTGTAAAATTAAAGTATTGTCACTTCGATGTTATGCAAAATGCGTTTTTACGAAGCTCTTTTGACCATTGGGTACTCATTAACTTTGGCATTCTTCAGCTGCAAACCTGCAGAATAAAATCTTTATTTGTAGACAAGTTTTTGAAAAAAGAAAGCCAAATCTTTTTAATTCAGATTCTTTACCGGTTTCATGAGCAGGAATGACTGCGCCATGAGCGTAGTGACAAACTGATCATGCGCCAGACGGATTGATTCAAAGTCTCTTGTGCTGTTTATTTTCTCCACGAGTTGGGTGTACTGTGCTTCTAAAACGTCCACCTACAAATAAAAATAAGGGGCCTTTTAATTTTTAACACTTGTTTCGGAACATCAACTGAATTATTGTCAATTGAACAATAATAGTCAGGGTTATGCCAAGAAAGGTTATTGCATGGTAAAATCTGAGATGTAGTGAATAAAACTGATATTTTAAAAGTACACTGTTACGAGAGCAGAAGCTGCGGTGCCAAAGCGATGTCTTTTATTAGTTAGTCTTTTTGGTCTTTTTAAAGTTCAAGTGCGATTCATGAACATTTGCATGAAATAATTTAGGTTCTGTTGTTTTTTCATTATTTTCTCTTTTCACGTTCGGTCTAACTTTGAGATATTGAATGCACCCCAAAATTTTGTTGCGATAGCTGGGCAGACACTTTGATTATTTCAAACTTTACATGTAATAAGAGTCCTTTTTTCTGGCGACCAATGTTTTATGCCTATCAAGCATTTATAATTTTAAGTCACCAAAATGACGACTTAAAAATGGTTGAACTTGGAATACTGTGATATATGATTGCATGACTCCTTTACCTGAAGATAATATTGTAAATTATCCACTAGGAAGGCCATGTGCATCCTTGAAAGCCATATCTTTGTCATATTTGATATCTGTGCGTTGGATAAATGTTTAGTGCCCATGTAAGCTGCCCACACTTGTTGAAGGTCCAACTGAGTACGCTTTACTTTCAACAAGAATCTAAAGAGACTGTTGTACCTAAACATTAAATAAATTCACTGTAATTTACTCTATGATAAAACAGTATAATATGGGCAGAGGGCAAGGGGGTGGGAGCTCTAAAGAATAGAAGACGGGAGGAGTACGGGAGGTGAGAGAGAGTGTCCTAGAGTGTCTACAAGGTTGTGTGCCCAATAAGAGAATTGATTGCATCTGTCTATGCAACTGGATGGAACTCCTGAGGTTTCTCATGTACACGTATGGGCATGTGTGGCTTCGGTTTTCAGGCTGCTTAGGTAGTTTAGATTATGATAGGGTAGAGAAGTCCGAGGGTTTTGGTCTAGGATAGCATACTATCTTTGGTGAGGAATTGATGACACACATATAGAAGAACTGAAACTGAAGTACAGGGTACAGTACACATAGAGCTAGTCTCCTACATCACCATCACTTTGGCTACAATGGCGGTTGCATAGGACACTATAAACACAGGGTGGACACCTTTGGTCTTTCGTCTTGAATAGGCTGGCAAATTTCAATGGGTGTATGAGACAAAACAAAGCCTACATAACAGTAACTTACTTTTCGAGAATAGCAGGCTGGAAAAGAATGTGCAATGGCCACTGGACGTCATACTGGAGCTTAACACAATCCCAGCCTGATATGACTACAGCTGATGAGTCTGTAGATAACAGGAAACCGTCAACTTGAAACATCAAAGAAATAAAACCAAGGCAATGGAAATAAAACTGAACAAAGGAGCCGTAAATACCTGTAGCTGCAGCAGTTCTCTTCTTCTTCTCCTGCTGAGTAATCTCTTTGTCGATCACAATAGTAAACAATGATGCAGCTTCATCATCATCTGGAAGAAACTGAGAAATATTCCAATCAACTTTCCTGACTTCTGAATACTAAGAGTACTTGTTTACTATTTTCACTCTTTAAACTCATCGCCAATAGATGAGCTTGGGAACTGGTCCTTTAAAGGTTGGACGGGAGCCTGAATGTCTCAGGCATAGCAAGGAGGTATCCATGGCAACCCTGCAAGCGGGAACCACCCCTGAATAAAGCCGCCAACTGGCACTGTCACACTGAAAGAATTCAGTGGAAAATACTCACCTGACCCCATACTTACCAATGCACAGAAGGGAAGGGACGGGCTGGGAGCAAGAATCCGCAAAGATCAGATCAAAAATTCCAGCATGAGATGCAACGTAAGTCACAAGATAAGCAAAAGGCCCCTGCAGTCACCCCACAGATCACGTACGCTTGAGGAGGAGACCGCTGACCACACTGGCTTGCAATTTAACTGCCTAAATTACATTTAGCCAAATTTAGAATTGGTAAATTTGATTGCTTTTACCACCACACAATTCCTAGCAAACACATTTTGAATAAATAAAAGTTTTCTGCAACACACCTTGCTAAGAACTTGCAGAAAAGCAGCATGAGCATCTTTAAGAGATCAAAATGTTAGAAATAATTATGTGATGTCAAGAAACATAAATAAAAACAGGGAAACAAACATGTTATTTATACACCACCCATTAACCATTTTATCTACTTCGCAAGAGGATTTAACAAGTAGAACTGTAACAGGGTAACCAAAGGTATAGGAGGAGTGATGGGTGGAGGATGGCTGGGGTCGATGATAGGTACTGAATTGAGTGTTCAATCAAAATACTACTGGACAGATATACCATGAAACAGAAGACGTAATATATCAAGCATGAGATGCAGTGTTTCATCACCAGATGAAACACCGAGGGGAGAGTTGAAAATACGACATGCAGCAGAGTATTTTTGATGAACTTTGAGGTGTTTCATCTGGTGATGAAACACTGTCTAATGCTTGATATTACTTCTCAAACAAAATGATTTTAGAAGGAGAAATTCAGGATACAAAAATGACCAGTTTTTCATCTGATTTCCATACACTCATTAAACATTAATTTCCTTAGTATTTTCAACATGAATTATTATTGAGTTTGAGACGTTTAATGGAGTGTTCTTTTCTACGCTCATTTGCTCCACCAGAGTTAAAGAATTAAGACTTACTAATAAGCGCATAAGGTATACATCGTGTGACCAGCTTACCATGAGAGGTGTTGTCTGATGGAGGTAGTTTTAGTAAACTTCTTGCATGTTCTATAAATGCTGAGAATAGCTCTCCTCTTCCCAATAAGAAAAACTCCTTCAAAATCTGATCAACAGAGGTTAGCAAAGAAAGTTAAGAAGAAGGTAACAATAAATATCTACATGAAAACAGTTATTTTAATGAAACAATAATAATAACTCCAGCCTAGGTAATGTGACACATATACCTTTAGATGCTTCAATAAATTCACATCTTCAACAACAAGTTTCCAAAGATGCTGAAATTTGAATTAACAAAGTGGATTAATTTTGTATCAATGGTGGTTACTTTTAAACCAGTCTTAGACCTAGGGAGTGTTCAGTGTTTGCAGGGAGGAGTGCAGATTTATACGAATGTTTGACTGATAGACCACAGGGTTCTCAGATTGGAAGAACTGAGTTTATTGGATGTCAAACATGCACTACTCCACTGTAAGGTTGTGACAGTGGACAACACCTTATCATCATGAAAACACACTCATGGGGGAGTCCCCCAAGGTACTCTATTGGGGTTAACATTGTTTTCAATCATGATATACTGTATTTGGAATCTGAGGGGTGAAATGTGTGGATGAGACAACAAAGCTAGTATTTATCACTGAGAACTCTCACTGGACTACTGTTTGTAAAGTGCATTCAGTCCTAATTTTTAACCCAAAATATGCAACAAGAGCCTATTAACTGGTGCACAAGAAGTTGAGAAAGTGTTCGTGGCTATACAGTGCAAGGTGTTATCATTACAGCCAACTTTTGGAATGATCAAGTAGATTACATATCTATGGCTTCTAAGAAGTTAAGAGGTTGAAGGAAATTTCCCTTATCACATGACCAGTGAGATGCAATAGCCTGATGAGGGTTGTAACGTGTTATCAGTAACAAATTTTTGCAGTTGTTCCTCAGAAGTCATTTTACGGGAAAACCAGTGGTGGCCTTGCAAAATGTCTAGTGTTCCCTTAGCCTAATTGACAATCATTACAATGATGATCACAATAATGATTATTTTGATAGCAAATATGACAGCGATTTCAAATGAGCAGTTTGAATTTTAAACCTTTCAAGCCCCTTACCATTATTCAGCAATAATGACTTTTCTGGCATTTCTTCCAACACTACAGTCATCTTTGCTGATCATTATGTTAATTCTCATGACCTTACTGCTTGATTAGTTATACATTATCTAAAGAAAGAAAAAGTTGCATAACTTAATACATACCTCAGCAACACATAACCTGATCTTGTCAATTTCATTCTCAAACAACATCAAATTGAACTTAGGCTGCTGCTGTAGGCCATATAAAGATTTGGTGAATTCCTCTTCTTTCTCCTGGATAACAGAACCTACACAAATTTTGTCAAATTCCTTGACATTAGCATTTACCAACATACAAGTTAAATTGAAGTTCCAGGAGTACCTTACTTACTTCTCTGAAGAGAATTTTTTGTTTGCTTGGATCCTTTAAACATCCCAACTGATTCTCCTATAAATAAAACCTACAAAACAGATGGTCAATAGAATTATATAGCATTGAACTATTCACTGTTTTAAAGGATGGAACTTGAGAAGTTACAAACCTTATCAGCAACCCTGGTTGGAATGTAAGATGGCAGCATTTCTGCATTGATTCTAAACTTCCACTGTGCCGGAGCATCCTTTTTCACTTCACCCTCCTACAACAAAAGATATTGCTCACAGTAATTTAAGGAATAATGACACTGTCTCAATTCTTTCATCTCCCACTAAAGACCACCACAGATCAACCTTACCTGACTGAGTGGGAGGAACATGTACATGCACAGCTCTGAAGCTGTACCCAGCTGACATCTGTGCAGCTGTACCCCATTTTTCTTTGGTACATGTACCTATGCCTGGCTTTAATTTTTTCTAGTGCAAAATCCTAACAATGAAACATATTTAATAGAGGTATTCTCCCCTTTTTGCCCTCTTCTGTGGTAGGTGGTACATATAAAGGTCAGTACATTGGACCTAGTGTATAATCTGGTCACCTATGCCTCACGCACACCCTAATGATTACCTCTAAGACAAAGACATTGTGCCACATTAGACTCCCTCCTCCAAAACCTAATACACTCTAGCAACCCATCCATGCCAGGTGTGGTGAACACATCCTATTTCCTTTGGTCATAATGTATGGGTATTCCTTTCTCCCATAATATTATTATTTTCCCACCCCCTCAAACTGACAGACTGTTCTACTATCAAATGGGTGTAGCTTAGCTGCTGCTCTCACCAATATTTCAGTAAGCTGCCTTCCAGTGATTCCAGGTATCCCTAGGTCAGTGCTGCTAGTCCCTGCTCCTTCAGCTGTTTTATCAACTGTTTGATCATCAGCAAAAGTTACTTCTTTGATGAAGAACTCACCATGTTTATCAATGAGAATACCATGTAGCAACCATGCACTAAGTTGGTGATACATCACACCATGACACACAAACAGGATTCTACAGTGAATTTAAACAAACACCAAGGTATAAATTGAAACTCAAATAAGATCATTGCAGTACATTATAGTTGGTGGTGATCATTAACAGTTTTGTTTTCCTCTAGGTAAAGGCTTAGACATCTTCCCACATAAAACATGCAAGCACGTTATTTCCCTTACTGGCAAATGAATGGGTTCAGACAGGGATTTCTCTCCATAATTTTTTTTAACATTAAAATGGCGCTTTTTTTACTTGCCTTTGCTCACTGGTATTAAAAATAACTTGTAAGTCGTTGCAAAGTTCATTGGAACTAAACTCCTCTTTTAGTGTTCATCTTATAAAGCAGACAGCACAAAAGAATGTCCTCCTCAACAGTACCTCTCTAAGGCATATCTTACATCAGGGATCCCACAGACACAGCTTTGTTGTAAAACATCCAGAATTTGACATCCTAAGGCCTAATCACCAAAAGATACAAAGATACAAATTACTGGTTAGAAATAATTATGGCTCCAGACCAATAAAAAGCTCTGGTACAAAAACTTCAATAAACAAAACTTTAACATTCCTTTATGTAAATTAATTTCTATAACTGCCCATAACTATAGAATGTACAAAGACTGCATAAATTTATTTATTTGCATTTATTTAGCATAATTTAGAAATGTAAGGACATTGATTTGTGTACCTTACTAACTTGGACTTTCTCAATGACTGACCACAGCGAAGGGAACAACACTTGATACTAAAACATACAAAAATTAACTTAATACTTTATTTAAAGTATCAATCCACGAGATCATCTCAATAGAGCTAGCAACTCAACATTCACTGTTTTATGTCCCTGTTCTAAATCACAGAACAATAAAATCACTTTTAATAAGCACAAAGAAAAGTGACATCATACAGTTAACTATCACCACATCATTTGTATAGAAAACTTTGATATTTGATGCATTTTCTTTAAAAAGCAAATTTAAAACCCAGGGGTGAATTGAATGGGCTCCAATTCTTTTAGAGTCATTTCAAAGGACCAATAAATGGAGGGAGAATAATTAACAATTAATGAATGAGGCTGAGTAGAATATGAAGAATTAAGCAGGTCGAGGAGGGTGTTATCCACAGAGGCCAAAGGCCAAGGTGGATTAAACACCCTCCGAGATCTGCTTACTTCTTCATATCCTAGGAAAGCCAAATTCATTAATTGCTTTATTATTCATTCAAAATAATTCCTAGTTTAAAACATAGCTAAAACATGCTTACCTGCATCGATGTTAAGTTCATCTTCGATAGTGTATGTTTAGGTTTGTCCAGCTCCGCAAATATTCTCCAAATAGCAGATGTTGCCCCCCGAGTTCTCTTCTTGCTGTTTTCGCCATGTTTTTAGCTATTATTTTGCCTAGTTCCAGCTGTAGTTCTTACTCTTGAAATGAGTTGAAAAGTCCACCTTTTTTTTTTTCACAACCAAAACAACTCAACCTCATCCCCAGGTCTTCTCGGTAACAGTGCTTTAACCTGTGGCGGGCTGCATTTTTGACGTCATTTCCTCATTAAACACAAAATTCTTCCAAATTTGGTCATCAGTAACTGGTTATGGTGAATTATTGTGCGTGTGCTTTTAGCCAATCAGAATTGGGGAATATTTTGAATGAATAATAAAGTACATTATTGAAGGCTGGGGTGCCTGTGATAAAGTCCCAAGTGACTTTTGATACATTGACAGTTTTTCCTCTAAAAAAGCAGTTTCAAAATCATCAAAATTTATATTTGGTATTGAGGATGAAAGGAATAAAACAAAACAAATGAATTATTCATCTCTTAATCTCAATGCAATTCTGTTTCATTCCCCTTAACCTCAGAGTCAAGTATGAATTTAAAGATCTTGAAACTGGTCTATTTGCCTGGTTGCATTTTAAGCATTAAAATATAATCTGCTCAAATTTCAGTCACCCACAGCCTTATTCCGCACACTTCTGCAAAATGTAATTATTAAGTTTCAAAAATTTAACCAACCTGTTCTAAACTGTGTTCAATGTAGGTCAGAGGAAGTTTGGAATCTCTTAGAATCTGTGTAGTTTTAAAAAAATACATTAGTCACAGTGACCTCAGTGAAATGCTTATTAGAATGTTTAACTCAGACTTGTACATAAGTTAAATTAAAGTACCTGTTTCTCTAAATCAATCAGGTCTTTTCTGTAGGAGTCAAGTACTTGATCCAACCCAGTACAGAAGGCTTGAATATATAAACCAAATGGTTCCTCTAGATTGGTTCCTGACGAGAAATGTTTTCAGTCACAACTTGTTTATTGGTGAATACTAGTACTAAGATCACCTACATCTGCTTGAAATGATAGACAAATCTGTAAATTGATTTGGAAGTTAAAAATCAGAGAGGCAATTAAAGAAATGTATGATAAAAAGTGACTGGCAACACCAGAAGAGAGAAGAAATTTAAAAAAACCTAAAGAAATAAGTTATAATGAAGATTTGGCACCAAATTTGGAAAAAAAGGTTTTAATAATACATGTGCTCACCATCTCCTGAATCTTCCCTGATAAAAGGAGATACCTCTGTAAACTTCTTACAAAATGTCTGAAACTTTTGAAAGTACGAGCCGAGTCTGCAGATTCTGTTAAGAAGATCTACCTCACTCTCATGAATAAAGGGCAAATCAGCAGCAACCTAAAAATGAAACAATACATCTAAATACAGCTATAATATGTCCTTTCTCATTTTATTTCACAAAGTGAAACTAAAGCTTTGCCACTGGCTTGAAAGTCCCTTGGTACTGTCAGGGTTTTCAGAAAGTTTTGAAGTAGATGGCTGAGTTGTCAAAGTAAATGGCTAGTACAGCGATATTTTATTTAAAAAACGCCATCCGTAAAGAAATGCTAAGCAGAGTAGCTGGCCAATACTACCCAAGTAGGCAACGATTTTCGCCAGTAGCTGGCTACTTTTAACAACCCTGTACTATACATTCACCTTTCTTTGTAGTGAATTTATATTAGTTAATAATGATTTTTATTATTAAAAATTGCTGTAAACTGGTAATGAATTGAAACAGAAACCCTCCTTAATCTTGACATCTTGAAATCAGTATACCTCAGTAATGTTCTTTTCAGTTTTGTAAGTTAAGCTTAATAACCCTTTCACCCCTGGGAATATTGCCACAAAATGCAAGCTGAGATGCTAGTCAAGCTGCTTTCTGGTCATTGTCTGCTTATAAAGAGTTAAAACTAACCAAAAAGCTATTTACAGGTCATACAGTTTGCGGCCTCATGATCTAGATGCAAAATATATTAGCTTCTGAAATTCGAGCAAGCACAAAAAGCAAAATTTTCAAGTCTCAATTTTTATTTTCACTTTTACTCCTCTCCTCTTCTTTCATTTTTCTTGCCTTGTTTTTTAGTTCCTTTTGGCTGGGCATTTAGTAGGCTACATTTCAACTGGAAATGTTTTTGGGAAAGTTTTTCGAATCTTAGGATTTGATGCAAGGAAAGGAAGGTGGGTAGCGGAACAAGATTTTCATGGCGATTTTCGGGTCAGCATTGCATGTTTTTTTCTTTTTGCCTTTTTCATGGGCCTCCTCGACTAAATATGGTACAGTTTGAAAGATCTCTTCTCTCTGCACAAGGCAAATGACCAAGTTTTCCTTGACCATCTAAACCAATGACTTCACAAGCAGTACAAGGACCATGGATCTGAACAGGCAGTTACATACATTTCTGGGGTGAAAGGGTTAATGCCCCATTGTTTTTGGTAACACAACTTGACACCTGGCCCATCAAAAGAAGAGGTTAACTCTATCCACTGAATAAATCCATATGAAGTGGATAAATTTCCCTAATACTTATCCACTGACTATTGATGTATCTGGTGAATAGCACTTTCCAAGTATGAGTTTAGGACCTGACAAATGCAGGTCCCACAGTTTAAACACACAAGATTCATGGGTGATGTTTGGGTTAATTAGGGACAGGGTAAAGGTTCAGCCTTCATGCGACTAGGGACCTTAAGCAACCACGGCAACGACAGCAGTTTTAAAAAACATCGCCAAAAAAAAGACTTTGCGTTCTTTCAAACTTAATCACATATATTTGGACCTGCTCAACATGTTAAATGCAGCGACTTTTCCTGGAGTTGAATTCTTAAGGATTTTACTCCAGTTCAAAAAGAGAAAGGAAAATTAGTTGTCAGATCTCCATGTCCTCCATAAAACATCAAATTAGGAGGTTTCACCTTGTAGCCGTGCAGTGGACATCAAAGAAATGTACTAAAAAGTGTGATGCACAGTACATGCGGAGCTGTTGTTTTGATCATTAAACCTATTATTTTTTTAAGTTTCCGTCATCGTCATCGTCATAGTTGCTTAAGGTCCCTACTATCCTTCGCAGCACTGTATGTTAGGCAATCCTAGTAAGGTAACATGGCCAACCTCATTCTAGAGCCTCCCCCTGCCCCTATAGATGACATTTTCTGAGGTGGGCTTCATGAGTTATTCTGAGGGGTTGCTGGACTGGCACCTTCAATCTCTGGAATACATCAGAAGGATATGGGAAAAGATTCCCTTTTCTGAGGAGGGGGTGGGAAATGAGCAACTTCTCAGGAAGGGACCGCCTCGTTGCTTTTGATTTTTTGTTCTTAGGAGATAAAAGTCAATTTATGTATCGGTCAAATTGAAGCTTCACCATGCCCCTCCCCGGGCATACCCCGGGCATTTGACACCTTTGCCGTTCCGGGGAGGAGGGAATTTGATTATCAGAGTCTTCCAGGGGGTGGGGAATTTGATCCCCATGCTTTAGGGGTGGGGGATTTGAACTGCACCCTCGATTTCATGTAAAATCTTTGGCGTGGCGAGCTATCATGGGGGACGAGGTGTAAGAGGATTTTCGTGGAAAAGATTGTGCCTTTGTGGCCAGTTGGTTACGAGGAAAGGGCTTAAACAAGCTTTGTGCCGTATTTGAAGTATTTAAATTTTGAAATTTTTAACACTGCATTCAGGCTTTGAATGTATGAATGTATTTTATTGTTGTGTTTACAATGAAATACAATACCTATACCGGGGATTCAATACAACAACATAAAATAAAATAAAAAGCTCAGGTCAACTACTTTGACCTACTGCAAGTATGTTAATTAATAAGGTGAGTGATGATACATGTCAGTGAAATGGTCATGATGTAGTAATCTCAATAGGTGGGATCTTTTTTTATAGAACGCTTTGTATGTTGCATCACGAAAAAAAGCTGAGCATTCAGTTTAATACCTTGTAGCAGCGATTTCCGCTGCTTTGCATCAGACTTTTGTTCATAGTAAATAGGCTAACAGAGTTTCTCAGTTTTTGTTATATTTATAAAGATTTTGTTCGACAACTGATGGCGTTTCCACCGTCTTTCTGTCATTTTTGTGCCGGTGAAATGTTCCCGGGGTGGAGGCATTTGATCACCTGAATGGACCCTAGTGTGGGGCATTTGAACGGCATTTTCTCCCGGGTAGGGAGGAATTTGAACAATAATTTTCAAAAAAGTCAAAGGCCTGGGGGTTTGCCCGGGGGGGGCATGTTGAAGCTTCGATTTGACTGATACATTACTTCATCGATGGAGGGAGAGTGGCTATTAGATGGGTGCCCAGCCACTAAGACTTATACCTTAGACGTGTTTTCAATAGCATGGGTACAAACAGAAATGCCATAATTTTTCATTTTTCCGATGTAAAAGTTGCATGAGGTCTTGATGTCTTCAAATTTGTACTTCATATAGCCTGAAAATAGCCTAAAAAGTCTACTAAAATATAGTTACATATAATTTGCAATGCACTGTCTGTTGACACACACCTGAAGTCCAGCAAATTTCTTATGAATGAATATTCCTCCAGATACCCCGGATAATGCCAAGAGAAGTTCATGTAACATATTTTACCTTCAGAACATGTAATTAACTTCAAAATAATAACGCAAAAGTTCGACCGCCATCTTTGCTTTCAAACATCACCGCGCATAGGTAGTTCCAGTCTCTCTCAGCTGAGAGCCCATAATGCCGCTGCGGGCACTCGCTCATTCTCTTTCCGTGGCTTCTTCATATTCTTCTCACCGAAGAGAAGACGAACTATGAAGGTAGAAAAGTAAAAATTATTTCATCATTGAACAAAACGTTATACAGAAACTAGAAGAGTGGCTATCCCTCTTTCTATCTGTGATGTGTTCATACTTAGATGGCTCACCGTAACTCCAGATTTACTAGATTGAATATCTTTACATTCGTGTTTTGAGCAGCTAACTTTCTCATGAGGTCCTTTTTCATTTGAAATAATAATTTCAAATTTTAAACTTTAGAAAGAGATTGAAGGCTTTTAAAGAGTGCTTTAATTTGATTTATTGGTTTTACACGTTCAGTAAAAGACTAGGGTTGGTGCATGTGGACAATAATTTCTAAGAATCGTAGTTACTGTAAGAAGGAATGACCAAAGATGAGCTACAGCGGTATCTACAATAAATATAAATGTCTCAAATAACCTAAAATTACCTATGGCAGACAAAATGGTAGAAATAATTTCACTGACCTCGCATGTGTTTTCAAAAAGATTGAATGTACTTAACTTCGTGCTAATTGTGGACAGTTGTCTTACACACTCCTTAGTTTTACCGTTAAATGTTTTCTAAACAATTCAGATCAATAATTTTTCTCCACGGTGCGGCATGGAAAAATCAGTTCACCCAGCAACACAGTTTTGATTGGAGTAGAGCTGATGGTGCCAGACAGGCAAACCATGTACCGTTGTGACTGGTGCGGAGCTTGCCAAGCAAGTTTGCTTTCTCAGGTTCGACTGTAACCTGGGATTAGTCTTTAAGGCCCAGTTCAAATGTCGAACTTTACATGTGCCGAACCTAATTATTAGGTTCGGCACATGTAAAGTTCGACGTTTGTATATGTAAGCTGCTAAAATTGAGCTTGATCTTAGGTTAGTATGTTTGGTACAGAGTTTGCAGCCCACAAATTGTGAATTTGCCCGGCAAGGCAGTTTTGATTGGTGCAGAACAAGTGCGCTGTCAACTCTAATGACAACCGTGTTGTTTGGCAAACTGGGTGTTCTTTGCGCTGTCAACTCCATGCAGGCTGACCAGAGGGCTTATGTGACATGCTAATCCCGCTGTGTTGTGTGCCAACATAACTTTGTTGCATTATTCAGGAAACATGTTACAAACATGTTTTAACGGAAAAACTAACAATAAGTCTATACAGTCATTTCAAAACTAGCCTTCATAGCAGGCGAAAGTTTTTATTTTTACGGTGAAGGAAGAAATCTTAAGGATGCACGTGAGGGGAGAAAAGAAGAGGGGGCTCCTGCTGCAGAGACCATTGTTTTCCATTTGTGTCCCCAATAGAAAAAGGAAAAGTAGACCCTTCACTGCAGGGGCCTTCTCTCCCGTTCCCATGTTCCCCTCGCATGGCCTGTTAAAAAAATGACCAGCACCTGCCATGCAGGCTATTTCAAAACCACGTCTAAGGTCAGTGAAATTATATTTCTACCATTTCGTCTGTTTCAGTTAATTGTAGGTTATTTACTTAAGATAATGCTGCAGCTAATTTTAGGTCATTTTAGATACTGTTATAGCTCATTTCAGGTCATTTTAGGTACTCTTGTAGTTCTCTTCAGGTTATTTTAGATTATTTTAGGGCATTCCTTCCTTTTGTAACTATATCTTGAAAAGTACATTTATTTGATTTTGAAGGGCAGAGGAAACTTTGTAAGATTGTTAAAGCGTGCCTCAAAAATATTTTACTGTAATATTAGGGATTGAGGTGTCCCACATTGATCGTAGGTTGTTATTCTGTAGAAGGCTGATGGATGATTTATAAGATTTCCACTCAGGTAGTTATTTCTTGTTGCAGCTCAATATCTCCTACCCAGCCAGTGGGTGCCAAAAGCTCATTGAAGTAGATGATGAACGTAAAATGTAAGTGCTATCCTTATTGGGTTACCATGAGTACAAGTTGTTGTAGCCTGCGAAAACTTCCGTTTCTCCTCGCTCTTCGCCGCTGGGGACGTTTCACATAGAGGAATGTCTGCGACTAAGGGACAGAAATTCCATACTGATGACGCAAATCAATGTTTACAAATAAATCCAGTAGTCATGGGGTTCCAAATATATTTTTGTCTTCTGGTCGATTTTGGTGAAGTTTTGTGTTCATGTGCCAATGAGCTCCAGCAAAACTCAAATGCTTCTTCTAGAGAAGACTATATTCTACAAGTATTGACTGTTTTGTTAGAGATTCTTCGCGTTTACATTTGACCTTTGTGGCCTTTTGTCTTTTGTCTGTCATTTGCAAACAATAGCTAAAACAATGTAACTACTCCGTCGACCAATCAGCACTTCTGACCGGGCTTCGAACAGATTTTACGTCATCCGTATGGAATTTCTGTCGCTCAGTCGCAGACGTTTCTCCACGCGAAACATCCCCAGTAGCGAAGAGAAAGGAGAAAGAGATGTTTTCGCAGGCTAAACTTGTTGGTAAGAACAGGCAGGAAAAATGCTCTGAAAATGACTTGATCTGTATCAGTGCCTTTTAGTGGTACAGTAAAACAGTTCACGGTATGGCGGGTTTCTGTGCAGTTTACTCAATATCTGTATTTTTTACATAATTTAAATAATCATTATTTGTAAAAGTGGGCCTTGTATATTCAGCACAGGTGCGCAACACATGCCCAACTGGGCAAAATATCTAGTAAGCTCACAGGAACTAATTTGAAACTAAAGGGCACAAAGGTGTTAGTAGTGCTGGTGGTGTACGCAAATGTAACAGACCAGGGGCCTATTCCTGCTTGGGGCTTCATGAATACTGTATCCTCCCCCACAAATAAAGTCTCTTTTAACCAAATTTTCCTAAAAAGTTGGTTGACCATGGGCCTCTCCCCCATCCATTCATTACAGTCATGTCTAGAATTAACCAACCAATCTCTTCTCTTTTTCCACCAGCATAGGCTTAAACATACATGTAGTTAAATCAAGTAAGAGATAGAATGATGTAAACACAATATATGCACCTGGAAATCCTTATTGAGTTTCTTTTGTTTTGTGATTGCAGCCGTAATTTTTATGAGAAGCGTATTTCTGCTGAGTGCAGTGCTGAATGCCTTGGTGAGGAATGGAAGGTCAGTGGACTACAAACCCTTTTGGGGTGGTTTTCATTGTTTTTAATTGTACAGTCGTTTTTAATGGTCGAGTCAGGGCTCATAGTGAAAAATATTACTTCACATGTTTCAAAAGTCATCACAAAGGTCCTTGAATGTTTACAGTCAAACAGGGAAAACTGTAAACATCAGAAATATTTCTGGAATGTTATTGTCTTGCAAGAGAAAAGCCAATCAGGCATGAGAAAACTAAACTGCAAGCAAGAATATTAATTAGTTTGTGGTTTTGTGGCCAGTGCGCATGTCCTGATCTTTGCCGCGATTGGTCATAACACAATAAACATTCCTGAGATATTTCAAGTGTTCACGGTTTTTCCAAATCTTTGGAAGATCAACCCTTGTTTGAATCAGATTGCATCTTTCACATAACAGTGACGCTAACAGGAGCATTTTTTAAGACAGTGCTTGCTTATCTGGTTATGTATTAAATTCATGTATGTGACTATTGAAAATGACCAGGAAATTGAAAGTTTGTGTAACAAGTAGGTTGTTATCAGTAAAAGGTTAAATGCCACCCCTTTTTTTAAGCTTATTGATAAGTCTGAGTGAGTATTTTTGTGTCTTTGATAGGGATATGTGGTGAGAATCTCTGGAGGAAATGACAAGCAGGGATTTCCAATGAAGCAGGGAGTCATGACAAATGGTCGTGTCCGCCTTCTGCTTTCAAAGGGTCATTCCTGCTACAGACCACGTAGAACTGGTGAACGCAAACGCAAGTCTGTTCGTGGCTGCATTGTGGATTCTCAGCTTAGTGTGCTCAATCTGGTTATTGTCAAGAAAGGTGAAGGTGATATTCCTGGATTGACTGACACCACTGTTCCACGCCACCTTGGACCTAAGAGAGTAGGCAAGATTAGGAAGATGTTCAATCTATCCAAGGAAGATGATGTGCGTCAGTATGTTATCAGGAGGACACTGCCAGAGAAGGAAGGCAAGAAGACCAAGACGAAAGCCCCCAAGATCCAGCGCTTGGTCACCCCTATTGTGCTGCAGCGTAAGCGCAAGATCCTGGCCCTCAAGAAGATGAGAGCACAGAAAGCTAAGCAGGAGTATGCTGAGTACACAAGGCTGCTGGCCAAGAGAGCTAAGGAGGCAAAGGAAAAACGCCATGAAATGCTGAAGAAGAAGCGTGCTTCCTCAAGTCATCGGGAGTCCGTGAGCAAATGAGTTCTGTATAAATTTTCAAACAGCAATTAAAGATGAAGATCATTGCAAAGTATGCAGTTGTACCCTGATTTTACAAACTATTCATTAGAAACTAGCCCACAAGGACATACTACAAAAAACGCTGGAATTGTGTGGTGTTTCTTGTCCCCTAATCTGCAGCTCCTCAGGTGTCACAGTCACTCTGCAGTTTATGTTTGCTATGCTTTACGTGATTACAATACCCTAAAAAATCCCTGTTATCAAAACTTCATTTTGCAAAAGCAGAGTCTTGCATCAATATTTTACTCTGCTTCTCTTTGTTTCAGTTTTTTTAACCTAAGAGTGAATATGTTAAGTGGCGAAAATCTTCAGGGCACCACCAGTTGGAGGTGAACTATGACCTTCCAGAACCATTCAGATACTCAAGCCACTGTGTTTTGAGAGGCTTGTGCAACAGTAGAAGCTCTGCATTGGCTTGCACTAAAAGTGGTTTATGTCATTTTATCCTGCCTCGTTGCCAGTCGCTCACAATCACTTTTTGGGGGATATTTGAGTTTCCCCCTCTGGCACTTTTCGCTTGTCTTCAGCTCTTGCCTGTTCCAAGCTCTCAAATAGTGGGGAAGACACAAAAGAAAAAGGCACGTGAATAGTTGGCGGGGCGGGGGAAAAGGAGAAAAAAGTTTCCTCCCATTTTATTTTTGTGTTTGCACTTTCTCAATTCAGCAAACCTGACCATCTTGGAGCCTGGAACAGGCCACTCCAGCTCTCGCTTTTTGTTTCTCAGTTGCTCCCCACTGAGCCTTGGGAAAGCCTGTGGAGGAGGCAGTCATTTTATCCATGAGCGGGCAAGTTGAAGAAGCAAATGCTGTGTTTCAACTGGTTACCCAAGTGAGCAAGATAGGCCTATCTTACCTGTGCAAGATTTCCTGTTTTGTCCCACAAGAACCGACTTTGTTTAGACCGCACGATAAATCTCTCACCTGTATTGACCATCCAGCCATCTTGACCAAAATTAATAAGCATATTTGTCTCGCTCTTTTTTTGTAACTTTATTGGCTTATCGACTTGGTCCATAAAGATGCAAATGGAAAAAAAAAAATTAATTGAGGTTTCTGGAAAACTGCCCACCTACCGCTGGCTAACTCAACATTAACATTTGTGTCTTACTTGGGGGAAAATGTTGGGTTAGGCGAGGGGTACGTGGGCAGTTTCCTAGAAACCTAAATTGATCCCCCCAACAATGTGCAAATTGAGAAAAAGAAACTTGGTGCCAATATCAAGCCATCTTGACAAAACAAGCTTGGTCAGTAAACATATGCATATAGTTACATGAAAACATAGTTATACATTCTCCCAAAAATTGCAGCACATTAACGTGCAAATACAGCTTCTGAAGCATTGAGCAGCTGCTGTTTTTGCAGCATAGTAACAACGGTGCCTCAAAGATTGTAAATTTCTTGACTAGTCCACCCTCGTAGAGCTATCAGTAGTAATTTAACTTGACCCCCTACAAAAAAGACAACTACTGTCTACAGAACAAAAAAATTCATTCACTTTATTGATGATACGTTTTTCACTACACTTTGTTGTAGGTGAAGAATACCTTGAATGATAAGCCAGTTTAATTTTTAATGTGCACAACTACCAGTAACCACAGTTCATCCTTGATAGACTTGAAAGAATCAAAAGGGAACATTTGAAGATGTTACTTTTCATTTTTCAATGCTGTTTCTGCAGTCAAGAATGTTCTACTCCACTTGTGAGATGTCTAATGTGGAAGTTGACAACATATTCTGCATTGGTTTTCTGCACTGAGATAGCAAAAGGGTAGAGTGGATGAAATGTGAAAGCCACAAGTCTCTTCCCTGTTGGTGGGATGGGGCGACCCAGAAATCCTGCATGGATTTTGAACTTAAGAAGCCCTGAATCTCTGGAATAGAACCTGTAAGGAAAAAAAACATACAAATTTAGCATTGTTTTTAAGAAGTAAGTACAAGAGAATAGACTGATCCATAAGTATAAAGGTAACAAAATTGAACTATGGTATTCCAAAATAGTGGGATGTCTCTTCGTGTTCCCAAAACTTTGTGCTTTTGTTTTGTGGTGTTGGTGTTTTTCAGTATCTTTTCAACCTTTAATAATATGTCATTTGGTGATCGCACCTGTCCACAATACCCATTAAACTACAAAGAACTGACATGTGGATGACCCAGTTAAAAACAACCCTATTTAATACACAGTAAAGATTATGACCGTGGACTTCAAAATGTGATCAAGTGGAAACTGGGAATAAGAATCGTTGCGTGTCCAAAGCCACGCATGTCTTGTAGAGCTTTTCCAGAACAGGTCAGTCCATGAATTCTACTGGGCATTGATTACTTTGGAACAAGTGAACACTACGGTGGTCGAAAAAAGAGAAGAATCATAGCGCAAAGCAACAGATTACGAGTTTGCTGCTTACGCAAGTGAGACTAATGAAATATTACCCTGCAACAATGTTCCATTTGCTACTGAGTTATTTGCGATATTGTTCTTCAAAAGTTAAGTAATATTCCATTTAGGGTGGATTCATTTGCAACATGTGTGTATAGCTGTCACATTTGCCTGTTGGAATTTTTTATTGATTTTAAGCTTAAAAAGAATAAATTCCATTGGGCGAATGCAACAGCCATACACATATGATGCAAATGAATCCACTCTTATTTTTCACAGTGACTTGTGCCAGGACTGGTGGGGGAAATTAACCAGGGAGGGAAAAGGACTTAACTCTCCCATATTTTAGTGTCAAGACAAGCCTGCATTTTGAGTAAAGCATGGTCAGTAAAAATGTAGCGGTTTTTTATCATTATATTATTATCATTAAAAACATTCAGGAAGCAATATTCCTCTAAATTCAACAAAGATTAGCTTTTCTGTGTTCAGTGCATTACTGTGTTATTTTGCATAATAATTAAATTTGATTATTTTCAATAATCAATTAACTTTTAGGCTAGCTCCTCAGAGCTCTGGGCTAGTAAACTAGAGTAGCAGCTTGCCCAAAGGGCAAGCTAATTGTTTTCATATTCATCTTACTCTGCAATCAACAAAAATTTACCTTATTGGATGATCGCCACAAGCCTTTGGCCTCTCCATCACAGATACCCACTTGTCGTCATATTTGAACAGTGACAAGTCCAAGTATGGACTGCTGCTGTAAGACTGTGAACTGATTGGCAGCTGTGCAAGAAGCCGTTTAACAGCTTCAGTATAACCCCCATATTTGGCATTAACAATAGTATGTTTAAAACGCCTTTGAATTTGCCGTGCAAAAATGTTACTTGAAGCTGAACATGTGAACTGTGCTGGAGAATGCAACATTGCATTTCTAAATGAGTCACAGAACTGTTCAAAAAGTTCTAGCAGTTTCTCTGATGTGTTTTCAAATACAGCTAAGACCTTTGTTGACTCCATATCATATACAATGAAGAATGATGGCTGGGAGTTTGGATCAGGCACTCTCAGTGTCACAACATCCTCACTTGCATACTTAATCAGCAGAATTTTGCTGTCAAAGAGCTGCATTTTCCACATACGCAAAGATCTAAACAACTCTACATGCTGGTAAAATCTACCCATAGCTAAAGCAGTTCCTTCATTGTATGCACACCTCCACAAGTGTGCTAGTATACGGTGCTTAAGCCCATTTAGACATGTCTCCATGTAAGGTCGCATTGGTTGGCCATTAGCATCAACGTTTGATCCAGTACTAGTAAGTACATATTCATCATCCTCATAACAAAATCGACCAATGGAGCGCACATCGATGAACCTTCCATCAGAGGTCACCTGAAAAATGTGTATAGCCTGCTGCTGTACTGACAGGATTGCAAGCAGATCCCTGTAGAGGTATAGCCCCTGGTTGTGGGACAAGAATATTTTGTCACATTTAAAGACTCTGGAATCAGACAGCATTCCAGTTTTCATATCAACAATGTGGATAGTGTAGTCCTCCAGAGGTGATCTTGGGTTAGGTGAGACAGATTCGTTGTTGCTGTAAATATCAAAGAAGAAGGGGTGAGGTTCCTCGGGAACATACGACGCCGATCCAACAATGACGTAACGACTATCATCAGTAAATAAACTACACTCTCTGTTCAAATGTTCTCCATTCTGGGCAACAGTTACTACAGAACTGAGACGGAAGAAACTTGAGAACATTTTGCTTCTAATCACATTATCTGAGGGTTCACTGGCCAACAAAGTTTCTGCGGCGCTGGGACCTTGAAACTCGTACACTTCAACAGAGCTTTGATCCAGCGAAAAAGCCACAAAATAGCGACCATCTGGCGAGAATTTCCGCAAATAACAAGGAGGTGTTTCTACATTAACTACGGTGTAATTAGGAAAGATGTTCTGGGTAAACGCTCTTGCTCGGTGCCAATGAGTACCAGGTTTTGGAAAGTGAGTTTCTCTCTGCCGTAGCCTCCAAACTAAATTCTGGTTGGGTATTCTCCTTGGTTTAAACTGCAACGGCTCTGACATCTTAAATATGAACTACACCCTCACACTGGTACAATATAACCACTGAAATCATAAAAAGACCAGATCACTCGCAAATCATCCGCCATTTATTGATCATCCGGGAATGTGGTAACTTTTGCCTGCAAAGTACTGGGGCTAACAGCTGAGTTGTCCTCTTTCCTCTCCTTCGTAATAGAGCTCGGTTTTCTCACTGGTTTCCTTTTATCATGGGTAAGGGATATTAGTGATGTTTTTGTTAAATCTTGGTATGATCTTGAGCTAAAATGTTATGTTTGAATCGTAGCTCTTCCATCGTTTACCTCGTTTCTGTTTGCGTCCACTCTGACCGTCCTTACTTTCGCTGGAATGCAAATGTTCAAGACTAACTTGGCATCCAGTGAGTGGATGACCATTTTGGGAGGATTAATTGGATCGCAACTATTTGTTTTCCTTCTGACTGTATCCTTTACGCTAAATTTATGTTAAGTTTAGGCTATGTGATTTATATCAGCCTGTACAGGTCGCAATATTTTTTTTTCTCTTGGTTCTTTTCTGGCCATTGACTGATTGAGGCTGTAAGGCAGAACAAAGACGTTTGCTCTTCTCTCACGTGTGTATATGTTGTGGTTCAATTTTTTCTCAGTTTAATTTTTATTTTCCTTTGTTTTTGGGTATGGAAATGTATGATAATGAGTTTACAATAAAGGAAAATAAAAATTAAACTAGGCAATATATGTTGTGGTTCAATTTTGTTCTTACCCTCTTTTAGAATTCGTTGTCCTTTATGTATATAATTTAAGAAACATCTCTCCGCTATCATATGCTCCCCCCCCGCCCCCATCCACCCATGCCATAATTGTCCATATTTAAAAAATTCACAATTTCATAACTACAGTCGACTCTGGATAACTCGAACCTTCAAGGGAAATCGAAAAAAGGTTCGAGTAATCGGGAGTTAGAGTTATCGGGAGTTCAAAGAAAATAGCAAAGAGTAGGGTAAAAAACAGTTTTTACTGCACAGTGAACATCTTAGTCACATCTAATTGTAGAAATGTCAAGTGAAAATTAAAAGATACTTCTGTATTATAAATCAGAATGTAATGTAACAAACCATAGCCTAAACAGAACATGCATTTTACTGTTTTGAGAAGAAAAGCTGCTTCACATTAGCCTGTGACAATCAACATCAGCCTCCACTAGTAAACTATACTTCTACAACACATCAATAGGAAATCCAAAACTCAATGTTTCGGACGCCAGTAGACGGCTTTTTTCCCAGCTTTTTAAGGGTTCAAAACATGGTTCAAGTTATTGAGGGTAAAATTATATAGAAAATGACCTGAGGGGAAACGAAAATTGGTTCAAGTTAGTGGGAATTCGAGTTATCGAGGGTTTGAGTTACCAGGGGTAAAATTACAGTGAATGTATGACGGAAATCCAGGGAAAATTGATTTTGGTTCGAGTTAGCGCGAGGTTCTAGTTAGCGAGGGTTCAAGTTATCGAGAGGCGACTGTAGTTTGATAATTATTATTATTATTATTATTATTATTATTATACAATAGTAATAATTTTTTTATTATTATTGCAGTGGTGTATTGTGAATGAAATTGCACACAGTCTTCCACTTATAATCTGACCCTTCCACCCCATACCATTTTTTTTTTTGGGGGGGGGGGGGAATTCTAAGGATGGCCGGCATCATATAGTTTTTGGCTGTTTTGACATTTTTTTAAAAGACTGCGTTGCATCATATTATGATTTGTTGTTTTTGTTATGAAATTTTACGTAGTTTTCCTTTTTATATTTTGCCCTTCCCCCCCTTTTCTTTTTTTTTTTTTTGGGGGGGGGGGGGGAATTCTAAGGATGGCCGGCATCATAGAGTTGTTGGCTGTTTTGACATTTGTCTCAAAGACTGCGTTGCATCATATGATGATTTGTAGTTATGTGTATGTTGTGGTCTAAAAACCAAAGGAATAGGATAATTATCTAAACCAGAGATAAAATTGAACAAAAACATGTACTATATACATTTTGGAATGGATTGGGGTGGAAGGGAGGGAAGGGATAAAAAAGGCAAATATTTTTATATTTTATACTTCCCACTCACTTTTTTTTTAGGTTTTGCTCTTTGTCTATGGTTTTATTTCAATTTTTTATTGGCAGCAACTAAATAAATCATTTTCTCCTTGACTTGGATGACACATTCATTAGGCTGTAGGAAATTTAGAAACTCATATGTTTGGTCGAAACTTCCAAACAAAGTTGTTTCCAGAAGGTAAGTATGTTAAACATATTTGTGTCTTAAAGATGCAAAAACTACTTATTGAACTTTTTCTGGCTTCAGGTGATCAAAATACAAAAGACTTTTTCAGCATTCCTTTGAACAAAGGCACCAACTTGAGGCTTTAATTTACAGAATGATCAAGTCAATGGATCTAACTGTGCCTTTAGAATATATCAGTAATTGAAAGCAGTTCACTGACTTCCAGACTTGTTAAAGTCCAGATTTACCATGGTTTCGCTGATGTACTCTACCTCAAAGACTTTCAGTTAAATTATGTGGTAAATCATGTCACTGTTATCTTGATTCAAAGTCTGTTTAGGGAATGATTTTTTCAAGGTAAATTAAAGCATGTAAGTTTGAATGAAATACCAAGTTTTTTTTCTTTCAGTTATCCTGTGTCTGGTAATAGCCATGTTTGCTTCAGGTCTAGTGCACAGAGTTTGTGTCACAACTTGGTAAGTGAGTTGTGTTGTTTATTTGAATTAGGAAAATTTTGGATAACATACAGTGGCAAGGAAAAAATAAATAGAGTAGGGCCCGATTGCCTAAAACCTAGATGTAACTTCTAATAGATGGTATTACAATGAATAGCTTTATTCCGCTGAGTGTTGGTCATAAGCTGTTCTGTCCCACTGTTCTTTGCATGCAAGTAAAAATCCAAAGTTTTCCCTTCCAAGAAAAACTTTTAATTTGAAGGTAGTAAAAAAAGTAAGGTGGTCAATTAAAATAAAATGCTTTTTGAATGACTTTAGGCTGGGCTGGACAGGAAAGTATTAATAAATTGAACCCTCAGACATGGCACTATGACCTCACTGTCACTCAGTATGCTACTGACGTGCAGCCAAAGATTTTCTTGTTTAGCCCTTCCGCCACTCAATAAATGCATGGCCCGTACCTTGGTGAAAGTTATAATTTGATATCATATAAATTGAATAACCCCTGAAAAGGAACTTAGACATATTGGAATATGTCATCCAAGGTTGTGGTTTATAGCTAATGGGAGTATGGCCGGAAAAGCTTTACTTATTTGTTCCGCAATTCACCCTTCTGTGTTCTTTTTTCTTGACAGTTTCCTCTTCTCTATGGTTGCCATTTATTACATTAACAAGATCGCTGCTAGTGTTCATGCTCCAACAACTAACCCTACGCCACAAGTGTCAGTTAAGACAAAGAAGAATCGCTAAAATACAACTCATTACTGATTCTTTTATTATTATTGTCAACATTAATAATACAAATGCTTTAAGCATAAATCAATAAACATTATCATTGTTTCTCAAATGTGATCAGTTTATTTTGTCTAAGTGTAACTTCATAGTGTAACTCATTTTAATGAAACTTTTATTTAAAGCAATTAAAATAATATTGTCCACAAAACTATTTGAAAACATGCATTTGCAACAAAGAAGGAAATCATAATAAACCTGAATGTATAAGTTACAGATCAAAATTAAATTCAGGTTAAATTTTTTAACCTAGCTTAATTCTCAATTTCCTTTGTCTCCTAGCCCTAAATCATTGAATATTACAGAGCTAGAAGACGAAGGAAATTGCAAATTAACCTAGGTTACAGCCAAATTTGTTGTATCATGCTGCACGTTTCACAAACTTTGAAAGAATTTTTGTTTTTTCTGTTCCGTCAATCATTTTAGCAGACCTCCTAGGAAACACACCTTACCCTGCCGCCTCTCAAATGATGGATGGGACAGAAAAACCCAAAAATTCCTTTGAAGTTTACAAAACGTGCAGCTCTATACAATGAATTGGGCTGTAAAAACTTTTGACCTGAATTTAATTTTTACCTGTAACATATGTTTATCCCTCATGAAAAAGCTAAGGGGGAAATAACCTTAAATCTGTTCTGATAACAATAAACAAATCATTATTATAACATGCCTTTAAACATGTCATCCAGCACCATACATAGCTTTTTGTACAATAATATGCTTAGGTATCATGAAGTCTCAGTAGTGCTTGGGCTGTGGAAAGGAAAAAAACAACAAATTAAGCTAACTAGATTTATTTACAATGGATTGATAAGCCACTAACTGACTTAAATATCTGGACAATATGTACATTAGCTTTCAGCTTGACAATTTCTGAGATTAGTTTGATTGGTTTATAAATAAAAGAAAGTTCATTGGAATTATGCATAAGTTTCAGAAGCCATGAGAATTCACATGATAAGTTAATGTGTAAAAAATTAATATAGAATATTATTTTTCATGTGATGAAATTTTGAATGATGACTTACCAGCTAAGCGTAGCAGTTGCTGCCTTTCAGCAAGATTTTCTTGCCATGCTTCCATCAGCTGAAAGTATCTGACAATAAATAGAAATAATCACAAAATTTTTACCACATTGTTTTTCCAGATCATGCGTGATAAAGGCTTTGAGGTAACTGATCAAAAGTTCTTCTAAATAACTGATTACTCAATTTAGGAATGTACAAAATAACAAGTCTTGCATTTGCCAAATTATAAAATGTTTTGCCCTGCAAAATTAATGTTGATAGTTTTGATAATAACAATAACAATGACAATGTTCAAAGAAGTAATTTTTCAATAACAATTATTATCAATAATTATTATTATTATGTGCACAAGGTAGGCTACTGGGGTTCGTCTAGACCACAGCCTTATTTCCTAGTTGATTTCAACATACTTTACTGTTCGCATGCATGGTGTCAAATTCTCAATATTTGTTTTTCTTTTTCTTCTACTTTTTTTACCTAAATAATGTGTCTCTTGGCCACAATGTTTCCACAGGGTGATTTTTCAGGTGAACCAGATTTGCCTGAACTGTTGTGATCCACTCTGTAAGAGTACCATAAACATATAAAAAATTATAATAATTTTTGTTATTAAAAAACAAATATCTTTTTTCATCAGACATGATGAAAATGCAGGTTTGCATGTAATTTGCACCACCTAAACATTATAGTTGTCTAAGTAAGAAGTACTGTTACAGTAGGAAAAGGAGAGGATGAAATGTGTTGCTAACAAACCATTTGTCATTTCTTTTGCTTTGTCATTAGTGTACTCCTCTTGACTGTCCTGTTTGGACTGTTGATCATTGCCTCTATTTTGTGTTGTACTCTGGCGTCTTGTTTCCCTAAAGGTTTTGGTAACATGTGAAAATTCATTTCAAGTTAAGAGACATATAAGCTTTGCCAGCAACTTCACTAAAAAAGGTTTTACTATAGACAATTAACTTAAGTAGAGCAGAGACTGCTACCCCTGTTCCTGTTTGTCATCTTTGTCTTATTGCTAAAGGTACATTACAGAATTATGTTATTGGTGGATAGAAAAGTCTTCCAATTTGCTTCTTTTCTTCACCAGTTAATATTTTGTCTGAAAGTTTGTTTCACATACCATTGATTTATTTGTACCTGAGTTTGGCAAGTTTATCTCCCAAAGCAGCCAAAGGATCAGCTGTGTCCTTATTGTCAGCTGATGATTTGTCTTCTGTTTCTGCTGTTGGCTTGTCTTTTCCTCCTTTTGGTGGTACTGATTTGTTTTGGTCCTCACTCTTTTCCTGATCATCTGAATTGTCTTCTTCGTCATCCTCCATCAAAGCCATCATAGTGCCTGCCTGTTTACTTCCTCCACGTTCCTGGAACAGTTGAACACCTACGCTGCTTGTCCGTCTGTTGGAACAAAACAACTATCAGTTTGAAACAAGTTCAAGCTTACAAAAAACATTTTCAGACTATAAAATCTGATTCTTATTTGTGGCTTATTTTGCTAAGCTCACATATGTTCTATGCATTGACAGCAAAGGGGTTCTCAAACCAGCTGGAGCAGGTCTTAAAAAAGGACCTGTTACCTTGTTCTAGAATGCAATCTGTCCTGACGTTCCAGCTCTTCTGCCAAATGAACCCTCATCTGCTCAGCTTCCAGTGCTTCAGTCTGTTGTTTGACTTGCTGGTTGAAGTCATTGCGGATGCTCTGAAAATTCATTACTATAAAAAAAGGCTTCAGACTTAAGACCCATGCATTCTTTATTGCTTACTATCTGTTTTGGCCAGTGAGTGACTAAAAAGGACTCAGTCTGAAATCTTTTGTCAAGAAAAATATCTATTTATATAAAATACACTCACCCATAATACCAGCAAAGATGTTTCTAAAAATGAAAGCCCCAATACAGATCCACAGGATGATGTAGATCTTTACAGTGATAGAATCAACCACCTTGATAAGATCTCTAAGGATATCATACCAATGATCCAAAGTAAAGAGTTGAAACAGAGTAACAAGAGCATTTCCAAGAGTGCTGCAATATAATAAAGCAATGACTCACAAATACTGACTATTACCAATATGTGTTATAACACCTCAATGCTGGCAGAACAGCATGTAAATACCACTACCAAATTAGTAGAACAATATTCATAAAAAAGAGAAAACTTTATACTACATAATAAATTTTTTTTGTGCTTTGGTTATCACAGATCATGCTTTGATTGAACTGCAAAATATGATGAATAAATCTTTCCATAACAGATTTTGTTTTCTTTCTAACTTCAAAGTTTCCTAGGATGTAAAATATTAATGATTTGCTCTTTTTGTAGACAAAGAAAATGTTAATTTTGCTAAATGTAATAAAATGAAGAATATCAAGCAAATGAAAAAAAGAGTTTAATGATCTGTTTGAATATCAAACCTGAAGCTCTGTTTGTACTTGAGGTCAGTCCTCTCAGACTTTGAGTAGCAAGCAAACATGACAGTCCCAGCCACAGCAAAAATATACATGAATGTCATCAGCAAAATCAGAATAAACGCCATTGACTGGAATTTAAAATAAGGTAAATTTCCTTTTATTGTTTACCTTTCCGCTTGTGGTAAAAAAGTCAACAAAAAACTGTTATGTCATAATTCCCCACTCACTAACTCTATGCTTTACTGGGGGCTGGAGAGGCGGGGGGGGCATTTTTCAAACTTGTCAACACTTATTGGGGCCCGGTGTCATATTTTGAGATTTGAATCCAAATCAAGCGTTTTACAGCATTACTTTTAGTGCACATATTGCAAATAAGATAACCCTCTGGGCTTATGATGCTGACACTTTAGGCAAAAAAGGTTCAAGGTTTGTGGAAATGAAAGTTACATGAACAATGTTTATTTAACATTGATTTTTATTACCTTGAATGCTTTTAATATTGTTAAAACAATGATTCTTAACTGTGCAAATCTTGAGACCTGTAATATTGATATTACTAACTGTTAAAATTAATATATTAAGCTGTAAAAATTGATTACTTAATTGGGTTATTCCCTTGTTTTGCACAGCACATTGCCTAACCGCGCATAACATTGCAACATCAAAGGTGGCAGTGATTTTTGCTGGTCGCCTGAGGAGAGGTAATAAAGAAATAAAGGCCACTTTTGTTGTCTAAAAGGTTTTAAATAGGATGATAACGAGTCCCCTTTTTCTAGCCTTCAAGCAAGTTTCCATTTCTCGCTAGCAAAGCAAGCCACAAGAGAACGTGCGAGCAAATGGCTAAGCTGTGAGGGTTTCTGGGGTAAAAATGAAAATTAAACAAACATCATTGCAAGCTCTTCAATTCTTTCCCCACCGTAAAACACACTTAGGATAATGCGCAAGCCTCCCAAGATTAAGTACAGTGACCCCATCTTTCATTGTATTTTTTCAATGTTTTGCACCCAGTTTGAAAAAATCCGGATAGTACATCCTTTTCAAGTTCAAGGGAATTATGTTAACTGAATTATTGACTCAGCTTCAGAACACTAGCAGATAACTTACCATCTTGAGTGATCTTAAGATTCGGAACACTCGAAGGTTTTCAGCAATAACAGCAAGTTCTGCTGTGTTTTTACCCGACAAAAGCTGTATAAACTCAGGCACAAATGACTGAAAAGAAAGTAATATCAGAACATACTTTAGTCTGGTTAAAATCATCCAAAAAATAAACTTACAAAGGGATGAGGAGAGGAATCATTGATTCAAGAAAAAAAAAAGAAAAAAAATGTTTATATGGTGGGATATACTGATTATTAATTGATTTTGACAGATTGATTGATTGATTGGTTTGTTGATTGACAGATTGACTGAATGACTGATTGGCTGACTGAGTACTAACCATTACTATTAATGTTGATTGATTGATTGAATGAATGATTGACTGAGTGATTGATCGATTGGTTGATTGATTGATTGATTGACTGATTGATTGATTAGCTAATTGACAGAGTACTCACCATTAATGTAACAAGAAAGTCAAAGATGTTCCAACCATTGTTCCAAAACTTCCAGAACCCATCAATCCACTTAAGGATTATCTCAAGCACAAATATAGTCAATGCACAGTAATCAAATATCTGAAGGCAGAGTTTCAGGGCATACAGTGACGGTTCTTTTATTTTAGAAATTTCTGTTAAAAAAAAAATTGGTTTCAACTCATAGTAGTGTATGATAATGTGTTTGAAACAAAGGAATTAAAACATCAACAAAAATGAACCACTACACCTCGGCATACACATTTTGCCTTCACTCACCAGCTTGCACTCCCAAAACGATAGAATTTGTGATAATCAAAACCATCAGGAAGTTTTGAAACTTTGGATCTGATGACCAAAGGAAAAACGAACAAGTAAATTAATATCCATTACCTTGCGCACAAGTCTGACCCAAAATATCTTCAAGAAATATTAGCTTAGAGATTTACCTTCTATAACTGTGTGAGCCCAAGGACCAAGTGGAATAGTGTTTTTATTTTTTACTCTGTTCAATCTACGATCTGTGAAACGTTGTTCGTCTTTCTTAGTGTACATTTGGAATTTGATCAGTCCCTGAGGCGACTCTCTAAGAAGTTGCTTCATGACTTCATCATCTGAAATTAAGTCAAGTGAAGTTTGTTGTGAAAATACGCTTAGCTATTTGTGAAAATATACTAGCTACTTTGCAATATTATACTGTATAAGTAAAACTGACATTAGGCTTTCGTAACTTTAATGGTGATGCGCTCGAAAACCGTTTTAACTGCCAACCATGTCAACCATCAGATCCTATCGCAATCCTCCCTGCAAGGCGTCACGACAAGACTCCCAATCACTGTAATCTCAAGGGGTTTTTCGGATGGAAATCGAATTATTGAAAAAAATACAGTATTAAATAAACCAGAAAAGCGCCTTTTTAGTACAACGTACCTGTTACTTCATTAGAATAATACTTTGGAGCTTCAGCACTGCCCCTGTTTGCGATCATATCGATGAGCTGGAAATCTTCAATTAGCTTTGACCTAAAGATCTCAGCTCGTGGTGAAAGCTCCTCTGGTACTTCGTCGTTCATCCTTACTGTGTTAAAATATTATTTGCAATTGCATTCGCAAACGTAAAACAAAATGTGTTGTACTTACAGTCCTACCAGGGAGGGACAAGAAACAAGACAAAAAGATGGCCTCAATACAGCCGCGAGACGAAAAACAATCGACCAAATCCCGATGTCTTCCCGATGTTAACCCGAAGCCCTAAGGATCCCGAAACGTAAAAATCATTGCAGAACTTTTTTGTCGGACGTTTCCCTCATTTCGGACAAATTTTGGGCAAATATCATGAACATTTTGGACACTTTATTGACACGTACCAGAAGTATATCGACGCTTACCATTAGTTTTGTCCGAAGTTAAAATTGTCTGAAATTTTCAAGAAATATAAATCGTGAATAGTCTAATTTTACGCTATAACAACAGCAAGCATTTCAAGTTTAATTTAAACACCTCAATTTTGCAAATCAAATTCTAACTAGTAGCGGTAACAAACAATATCAATTTAAAATATTCATTTCGTTGATTTTGACGACAGCTTTTGGTGCCCGCGAAAATGTTAATTTAAAATAGCTCTCATCATATTTGATCAATAGACCAATCCACGATATTTATGTCTCAAGAGTAATGGGAATGTTTGGAAGGTATTGCACGTGCATGTTACAGGCTATTTAAGATTCGCCCTGCGTGGTCTTTCTTTCTTATTGCTGTATTCTCTGCCGTGTTCAGAATATCAGAGTTACCGTTTTTATTACAGCAGTAGTCATGGCCGAACCAACCGCTGTCGCTAAGCCCAAACCCAAGCACCCAAAGTACAGTGAAATGGTGGAAGAAGCAATTAGCTCTTTAAACGAGAAAAGCGGTACTTCACGGCAAGCCATCTTGAAGTACATTCAAGGAAATTATCCAGTTGGCGAGAAGGCTAAAAATCAGGTTAAAGTTGCTTTGGTCAAAGGAGTCACCAATGGACGACTTGTTCAAACCAAAGGCACCGGAGCCTCGGGGTCATTCAAGATTTCCAAGGAGCTCAAAGAAGAACAGAAAAAAGCTGAGAAAAAGAGACTTAAAAAGGAGAAGAAAACTTTGAAAGAAGCTGCTAAGGAGAACATTTCGCCTGACAGCGACAACGAAGGTGTAGAAGGAAAAACCAAGGCAAAGAAAACCAAGAAGACAGTGCTAAAGGGAGACGATGAAAAAAAGAAGAAAAAGAACTCGACGAAAAAAAGCAGTGACAGCAAAGAGAAAAAATCTTCAAAAGATTCAGCAGCGAAGAAAAAGAAATCCAAGGCGAAAAAATCGGAGGAAAAGCAAGCTGACAGCGACACAGAGGTTACGGCAGAGAAAAAAGCAAAGAAATCGCTCGCAAAAGCTAAGACAAGTAAGAAATCGTCGCCAGGAAAGAAAGCAAAGAGCACAAAGAGCAAAGACTCGACAAAAGCTCCTAAACCAAAGAAAACTGCAGAAGCAAAACCTAAGAAGAAGAAAGCGCTGGCTGAGAAGAACTGATGAGAATGTATGAACCAATTTAAATTTGATAATTGTAAATAAGTGTAAATAGCTATTCACAGATAGTGACGTCTGTTTGCCAGTTCGATGTAATCAATATCCTTTCAGATATTTCACCCTAACTGTTGACTTGCGGGTATGGAGTTGACGGAAATATTTGCTTCGTTCTCTTTTTAAAAGTACTGTCCAGTTGGAAGTTGTTTTTACTTTTACCTTATTTCTTGGGAATTTTTTTTTCGACTCTTTTAAGTTGCGCATATTGTAATAGTTCGACAGTCGGCACGCTTGTAGAAAAGATGGACACCTTAGCAGACTGTGAATAAAACGTGTGTTTTTTATTAAAGCATTTTGATTGAAAAATCGAGCTATTCACTGAATGTAATACGATTGTTTAAACGTGTATAATTTTTTTAAGAAGTACTCGCGATAAGCAATTCTTCGCAAACTAAGACGTAGAGTGAGCATGTACTTGAATGTAAGCAATAGTCCTCTACATCTCAGACGGAGTCAATAATACAAGCTCCAATGTTTTTTTTTTCCAGTGCTGCGCGCACGTGCTATCGACAATTCTGTGATATGTGCATACTTGGACTTTTCTCAACCCTTGAAGCCCTGGTTTCTAGCACAGTACACGCGATGGAAGCAAGGGAAATAGGAGACGTCCAGGGGCTTAGCTAGGAATTTTCCAGAGGTGCGCACAGTTTTTCAAATCCACCAAACCTCTTCTCCCCAATCGTTTCCACACGGCGGATGCTTTAAATAAATACATTCCGAGACGTGTTTATGCCTCTGGTGAGTGAAACATTTCTCTTGTATGGGAAAAATCATGTTCTCGTGCAATATCAACGGCGTTTTGTGTGAATGTGTGTTCAACAAAATCGAGGAAAACACTTTTTTCAACTCCTTTGCTTTGTTTTCTTTGTTTGCATGTTTTTGTTTTTGTTTTTCATTAAACTTGGGCAACTTTTCAGTAGCCTGCGTAGCAGGCGTCGAAAGGGGTCCTGCCACGCAGGCTACTTTTCAGGTACGCACGTGCGTTCTGTGTTACTGGTAGCTAAGCCCCTGGTTTCTGCGAGCACGCTATAGTTTAGTCCTTCCTTCTTTATTCGAAAGCCTGCTTTTCATTTTTTTCAAATCAAAATTGTAAAAAGCCTTCGGGATTGTTTGATTACAGCACAACTTAACAGAAACCGGCTAAATATTATGTGGCTGTGATGAGACGTTCGCATTGTTTTCCATTAAGCGATATCCTGTTTTAAAATTGCAAATTTGACATATGGTATAAGTCTCGACTCGCCCACTCTTTGACTCCTCGCTCGTCCGTTATGCTATAACGACCACTAAAGGACCGACCAACATTATTCATAAAATTGCTTCTCGGAGCGAAGTTTTTCACTGATATTCGCGCATATCTTATTTCAGATTGAACTCACTAACTCTGTGAAATGGCTGTAAAATGCATCTTCAACCTCGTCTCCAGGGTCTTCTCGCGTTCCAATATGGCGCTGTCACAGTGATATTGACATCCCCATTCCCAAAATCCTCGTGATATGGGCATCCTCTGTAACTCTAACCCTAAACCTAACCCTAACCCAAATAGCTAAGGTAATATAAGAAGCGGATGCCCATATCACCAGGGTTTTGGGAATGGGGATGCCCAAACACTGTAACAGCGCCATATATTTGAAAGTTGAATGCGCCTTTTTTGCTCTTCTTATCCAGCGGTCTCTATTAGCTGACCTACCTACCAACTGACCCTAAACTAGCTGAAGGCACAGTGGTCATGTTGGTTGAATGCCAAAGCGTTTCCCTTCCGCTGGGATTTACTAAGCCTTTTTTTCAGGGAAATTGTTCCAGAAAAGGTGCTGTTTCAGTATCATCCAACACTGCCGCCTTGTCACGCTGTAGCAAACCCTGATTATGACTTAAAGCTGATAAAAAGTTCTTGAACAGTGGTGGTTTGGTCGCAATTTGCAGTAATCGTCCTAACTTTCAATCGTGACCTCCGTCTTAATTTGTAATACCTCTCGCAATTCACTTGTAATTAATTTGTGGTATATTGTAATAAAAAGTTGTCACAATTTGTAATAACTCTGCATCGTAATTAATGATAAACTAAGCTGTCACAATTTGTAATAACTCGACATCGATAAACCAAGCTGTCGCAATTTGTTATGATAAACATGATACACGTGAGTAACAACACAGGAACAGCAGCATCATCAACACATGTCGATCGAAGAATGAGACTTGTTGGTCACGTGAGTTATAGTTGTCAAGTTCATACAAACGTGTAAAACGTTTGTTATAGCTAATACCAGAGCTCATTATTCATTCGTTTACGAGCTAGGCAAGGTGCTTTTTCCCCATTTACAGAAATCATTCCTTTGAAAAGGCTCGGGCAAATGAATTTAGGAATAAATTCATGGGAGAAGCCGATCCACTACAACGAATAGAAACTGATCGCTTGTACACGCGCCCACACACGGTAGGACATTATTGGTGTGGGCATGGTGTGGGCCATTTAATTCAGTTTTCCAGTGTGGTAAGAATCCCTTTTCTATTCCGCAAGCTTAGGCTTTTTCTTCAGGGTTATACCATATAACTCTTACTCCGGCAAGAAAATAAAATCCGATTGGCCTTTACTGTTGTTCACACATAGCAAAAGTGATTTCGGAAAGGTTTCTGACGTTTCTGTACTCGGGAGCGAAGCTAATCCGATATTGTAAGTGATTCGTCAACTTTCGGATATGTTTCGGTACCATAGTAATTGCCCTTTTACAGAACTTCCTGTTCCATCCCGTCCTGGACGATAACGTGGTTTTTAGTAAGCGGACTGCTCGTTTACTGTGCCCAAAAAATAATATACTCTACATTTGTCATTTTGGTATTTCTACTTCTGCTTCGCATGGGTGGTGCACGATATACCAAGTGAATAGCAAGTCCCGAGTTACGTCACAAAGAACACAATAATGATCCCTAGCCCTTACACAATAACACTACATGTATAGACTTCACACAATAGAACAGGACAATACCGCATATATTGGCTTGGTATATCGAGCATCACCCGCTGCTGATGACCTGAAAATCCTACATCGTCTCTGGGAACCTGTAACCAAAAATGGCAACCCAAACACGACAGCTTAGTTTATTTCAAGTTCTGTCGTAAAGGTATTACAAATTACAAAAACGAAAAAGAATTGCAAATTTACAGCAGGCGGAAAAATCAGCTCTCTCAAACTGACAGTAACCCTGCAAGTTTTATTTTTATAGATAATTTTCTTGGCTGATTTC